AGGATGGATTTCAGCAAGGAGTGAGTCCTCATATATATGAGACCTCTTTACAGATTCAATCATGAGTATACAACCAAGTTGAAGTGTTATTTTAACTTGAGCCATTCATGGATTTTTTTTGTGTTTTCATTTTTGTTGTTGTGTAATATATGTCAGGTAGACCTTGTGGGAGGGTACTATGATGCAGGAGATCATGTGAAGTTTGGGTTGCCAATGGCCTACAGTGTCACAATGCTTGCATGGGGAGTTATTGAGTTTGGTAAGGAAATCACAGACTTGAACCAAATGGGAAACGCATTATGGGCCATTCAATGGGGAACTGACTATTTTATCAAAGCACATAATCAGCCTAATGTTCTTTGGGGACAGGTAAAGCTAGTGCAACAGACAGAGACTGAGTTTTATTGTTCGGTCACCAATTTCATCTGCCAAAATTATTGTAGTACTATACATAAGTTTTCTGATTAAGACCACACTATTTTTTATTATTATTATTATTTGACAGCATTATATTTAGTTATTAGTCTGCTTCAAAACTATATAATTTGGTTTAACAAATTACTTTTCATGTGAGAAATTTAATGAACAAAATTAGATTTAATCATTCATTAAAAGGAACTTATTAGCGGCTCTTACAAAACTATTGTTACTCTGGTTGAATGTTAAGCATGCTTATGGTATAGTGAGACATTGCTTTGCTCTGAGAGACTTCAGGTGGGTGATGGAGCTTCTGATCACTACTGCTGGGAGCGTGCTGAAGACATGACGACTCCAAGAACAGCTTACAACATTGATGAAGAACACCCTGGCTCAGATCTTGCAGGTGAAACTGCAGCTGCATTGGCTGCTGCAGCCATAGCTTTCATGCCCTACAACTCTTCTTACTCTAATCTCCTGCTAGTTCATGCAAAACAGGTTAGCACTCAAAAAGACTGATTAATAATCACTATAGCACTTTAAAGGAAACAATGGCATCTAAAGAAACTAAAATTAATGAAAGGGTAATCTAATCATGTTTGGATGAAGTAAACAACCAAAAACCACTTCTCGTTAAAACCGACTAGCGAGTGTGGAGTGGAGGAATCCTTATATGCAGCCTTACCCTTGCATAATTGCAAACAGGCTGTTTCCTGAATTTGAACTCATAACCTTTCAGTCATGAAAGAACAGTTTTATCACTACTTCAGTTCACCCCCTTAAAGGTTGAATGTATACATAACAGAAATATTTTCAATATTTTACAATCAAAGGAGTTATTATGGATGTTCTTCTATCTGTTTCAGCTCTTCACATTCGCAGATAGTTTCAGAGGTTTATATGATGACTCCATATTTAGTGCTCAGCAATTTTATAATTCTTCCGGTTACTTAGTGAGTAAACGTTTCTCTATTCTGCCTTTACTCCAATTAGTATCTTATCACTTCTAAATCAACTGCTATGGTGAAGGATGAATTGTTATGGGGTGCCGCCTGGCTGCACCGAGCAACTGGGGATGAATACTACCTAAAGTATGTAGTGGACAATGCTGTGTATTTGGGTGGAACTGGTTGTGCGGTGAAAGAGTTCTCTTGGGACAACAAATATGCTGGTGTGCACACCCTCCTATCCAAGGTAATATGACAATGTTTTTTCCCTATTTGCTAGCCATATTATTAAAAAATGAGGGTTATATTTACAAACTTTTATTTACAAACTACACTATCTACTCTCGGAAGTGTACTAGGTTACACTATGTACTTCCGAGAGTACATAGTGTAATTTGTAAAAAAAGTTTGTAAACGGATTCTTCCCCTTATTAAAATCCATTTCATATTAGGAATTAGTATTGTTTTCTGAAATTATAACAGCTACATTTTGATGGAATCCAGTTTTATTTACTGTATATTGGAGGAAACAATAATAAAGAAAAGATCCTTACAAATACTAATTGCAGAATAATACACCAAAAGACTCCTAACTCACCCTTAAAACCAACACACCTAGGCTCTAAAAGATCCTCAAATTCCTAATATTCACTCAATACATGCATACCCCACTCCGTACATTCCCTCTCCTTTTATTCTCTCCTCTAAGGGAATGTTTGGTACCTAGATTATTTTTTATTTCCTTGGAAAGCTTGGTAGGGAGAATTAAAATGTCATGTTTGGTACCAATAATTGCAAATCTTTCCCTGGTAAAAGGTTTGCCTGGATTTTGTTGTTATATGTAAATTCTTGTACGGTTGGCTTGTTAGAAATTCCATAGATTAGTTGGTGTAGTTTGTTGCCCGAGCAAGTAAAAAGTAACCAAAATGAAATGGACCAAATTAACCCTACATTTTTGTGTACTAATTTTGAATGAAAAAGTAAAGGTGGAGTTATTTTTGTAAAATAACTCCACATTCCTACTACTATTTCACAATCAACCAAACATCAACTCATAAACTTAATCAAATATTTCCATGACAAATTTTGGTCAACCAAACACATTTTTGTAACTTACCTAGAAAAAAAATTTCTCACCACATTCCGGCAAAATTATTTTCTCAGTAAATTTTTTTTTCTCCTGTACCAAACTTCCCTGAAGAATATTCTAGAAGATTTTCCTAACAAACTAACTAACTCACTCACCACTTTCAGACCCATCACATTTGAAGGTAAAATAATTAATTAACAGCGACTTGGTTTGTGACAGAACACAATGGTGTCATTTGATCCATGTACCAGTTTTCATCTAGTGGGAAAAGGCTTTTGTTGTTTTTGTTTTGAATCCATGAATTTGTACATATGGAAATCTAATTTACAATTACTATGATTCAGAAGGTCATTCTGCAGGGAAATTTGTATCTCCCCACACCAAAGTCAATCAGTTTATTGCAGTGCAGTGGCTTAAACTATCACATATTACCAATTATGATTCGTTCAAAGAATCATGCAATGAATGGTCAAATCCAATTTGCAGGTATTAATAGAAGGAAAGGCTGGTCCTTACGCCTCTACACTAGAGCAATACCAGGCCAATGCAGATTATTTTGCCTGCGCCTGCTTACAAAAGAATGATGGTTACAATGTCCAGAAGACTCCAGGTTTGTTGATAAAGTAGAACATTAATTTAACAATCAGTTTAAACTCCTTTCAAATGCATTGCATCAGCACACTCACAGCCTCCAAAGAAACATTGAGAGAAAAATATAATCATTTTATTTTAGTTCTGCTCGTGATATCTTCTTACTAGGTGGCTTACTATACGTGCGTGAATGGAACAACATGCAGTATGTTTCTTCTGCTGCATTTCTTTCAGCTGTTTACTCTAATTATCTCTCTCAAGCAAAAGCACAGCTCAACTGTCCAGATGGACACATTCAGCCTCAGGAGCTCCTCAATTTTGCCAAATCACAGGTATTTGTTAGAATCTGTCTTATCCTATGAAGCACCAACACTTCAAAAAACCCGATGTGTCGTATCCGACACTCTGACACTCCCCCGACACTTCAACGCGCGTTGTAAAAACTCAAAAAAATGTTCAAAGGTTGTGTTGCATTTTTATGTTTCTTTGCAAAATTAATGGATATTATAAGTTTAACTTTATTTTTTTGTTAAATTACTAAATATTAAATATAATATACGCAACATAAATTAAAAATATTATTCAATATTAAAATGTGTCCTAACTTTCGAAATCTAACATTTTTTATAATTAACAGAATTAAAAATTGTCGGAGTGTCGTGTCGTATCGTGTCCCATGTCCCGTGTTGATATCGGTGAAACATAGGTCCTATCCCTGGCTGATCATGTGTAATGTTTTACTGTGTGATTTAGTAAACTAGAACTGTGGATTTTGGTTGACACAGGCTGACTATATCCTTGGTAAAAACCCTGACGATATGAGCTACTTGGTTGGTTATGGACCAAAATATCCACTTCATGTTCACCACAGAGGGGCTTCTATTGCTTCAATCTTTGCTCTTCAGAATGAGGTTGGCTGCATCCAAGGATTCGAAACATGGTATAACCGCCCTGAGCCAAATCCTAATGTCATCTGGGGTGGCCTTGTGGGGGGGCCTGATCAAAATGATGACTTCTCTGATGACAGATCCAATTATGAACAAACTGAACCTACACTTTCAGGTGCTGCTGCTCTTGTAGGCATCTTTGCTAAACTGCAGAGTTTATATGGTAATATAGGTGAGGATGGATAATCGGCATTCTGGACTAATATGCTCTCTTGTCTGCCTCTTCCTCTATGAAGCCTCAATCACTTTTCTCTTACTTGTCACAGGCTCCTACCATAATGAATCACTAGTGCCCCAGCAAAAAACATCAAGTGAGTTATATGGTCAAAATAGATAAACTAGGACAAAATTGAAGGAAGGGTCTAAAGTTTGTTCTGATTTTGAAGGTTTCTCTGCATACAACCTTTGTTATACTAATCTGACATCTATTGGCTTGACAGGTACAAACACGTGGCAAGCACAATCACCTAAAACATCAGAAGGTGAGATCTAATAAATAATATAGGCCATCAATTTCATTTCTTTCCAATTTTTTTATGCAAACACTGACTGAAGGATGGTAAGGTTCAGTTGCAGATGCCCCTGTTGAATTCCTGTACTCAATTACTAGCTCATGCAAAAATCTCGATTCAAAGCTTCCACTCATTACTTTGGTATTGGCCACAAAAAGTCTCTTTTTTTCACACATGTAATTTGATAATTAAACTTCTGTCACTACTTCATGATTGTAAATTTGTAATATCAACTTTTCAATCCGATCCATACCTAACTACTCAAACGTATATTTGCAATATCAGTTTCTCAAATTTAGTTCCAACGAGGAAACTCTGAAAATTTAATTTTCATCACGAGAAAGAATCTGCTAAAAAAAGATACGAAAAATATACAAAATTGTAGAAATTCTTGATTTTTATTATGGGTCTATGTCTCACAAGTTTATGTGATTATGGTATTCCTGTGACACTCTCCCCAAAGCTTATCATATTCCTGTGATTTTTCATGCAGATTGGTTGAAACACAGGAATATATTTTTATTGCCCATGTATATCCCAATTAGAGCATAGATCATTGTAAACATTCTCACATTCACAATCGTATGACCTGCAATTCTGAGCACATTACAGATAAAAAGGTTTAAAGTAGTGAGGAAAAAAAAACTATGAAAAATAGCCTACAAAAAGCAAAGTAAATATTCAAAGTGGAGCCCCCATTGTCTTAGTTGGGCAGAAGGTAGGGGTTGCAGAACTTGGGGATGAGAGTAGTGAAACAAAAATAACACCATTGCTATGCTAATTGAGGTGATACTTGCTTTTGTGTGGTAGCTGCCACTTAATGCTGGTCTTTGGGAATATCAAGATCTTTAAATATTGGGCTGTCAACTCCAACACCCATAGCATTCAGACCATTGTCAACATATAGAACAGCACCAGTGATAGCAGATGCCAAAGGTGATGCTAAGAAGGCAGCTGCATTGCCCACCTCCTCTGTTACACAAAATTTTAACTCAGTTGTGCAAATAATCACATATTGGAAATGAAACTAGTACATTACAAGGAATAATCCCGATGGAAATTTTACCTGCTGATAGTTCTTTCTGTAGAGGTGCATTGGCTAGTGAATAATCAATCATCATATCAATGAACCCAATTGCTTTTGCAGCGCGACTTCTCAGTGGACCTAGAGGCAAAAGATGTTGAGTCAACATGTTAATCATAAGAACAAAATTCACCAACATGCAAACAATCAACCTGGCAGGAAAATAGTTAACTTCAACCATGATAAGGGAGAAACAACTATGCAATAGTACGAAGAATCATAATCTAAAAAGAACTATAAAACGTTACTTCATTCAACTGTAAGAAGGACTTAACTATTGCAAATAAAACAGAACTGAAGTAACAGAACAAAATCCCATTATGAGATAGAGCAAGCAGATAATATGGAATTGACAGTAAGATGCTTGTGTAAAATTTAAACTAAGTCCAAATAGAGGTGCCTGAATGAACAGATAAATATTTAACATAGAAGGTTCTGGCATTTGTTTAACAAATATAAGATATTCAGAGCATCTTATAGAATCTTGAACATCCATGAGATAAGATCAAATTCTTCAGACTGCACCTAATTATGTAAAATGTCATAGAGAAAGCAAGACACCCATTTCTCCCTGCCACCATGTCTTCCACATTAACAAATTATAACAAATGAGGACCCATTAAAAATACGAGGAGATCATACAAATTCATCTACTAATTTAGACATGTAAAGAACCAATGCTATCCAAAAGTTTAAGCTCTAAGGTGAAGTTTACATTAATTGTTTTATACTATATTTCTCTAATACACCCCCTCGAATAAGTGCCCATTGGGCTTGAAGGGTGAACAATGTACAGGCTCTCTTACATGTGCATAGGGACATTCAGAATAGAACTTGTCATCACTTGGTCACAAAGACTTTGATATCATGTAAAGCATCAATTCAACCTAAAAGCTTAAGTTGTTGGTTTGAATTTGTTCTTTACGAGTTCAAATCTCACTGTCCCATTTTCTAATAAAATTAAGTGTGCCTAAAATATATATATATATATATATATATATATATATATATATATATATATATATATATTTGTACATTATCCTCATTTCGAGCCCAAGAAATCTTGCAAGAGGAGTGCGTTAGAGATATTAATATAAACATCACTTGTCACCTTAAGCTTTTAGGTTGAATTGGCACTTTACAAGATAAAAAGAGAAGGCATCAATACCAGCAGATATAGTGTTGACTCTAATTTTGCGCTTTCTACCCGCTTCAAAAGCAAGCACCTGAAAAAGCATGAAGTCCAACGTAATTTTAAACATCCAATGACAAGGAGAAAAACTAACAACTAAAAATGAAGCACGTCAAAGTCAGTCTGCGAGATGATGTTTGGAAAAAAGTTGATGCTTACTTGTGTATCACTTTCCAGTGCAGCTTTTGCAGAACTCATACCACCACCATATCTGTTTATCATTTAGTTATGGATATTGTCAGTCTAAATTTATGAAACATAGAATTATAAGGACTTTCTAAGGAACAAGCAACACACCCAGGAATGATCCTTTCTGAAGCAATGTATGTGAGAGAAATTGAAGATCCACCTACAAACAGATCAGAAACGTAAGATAAGATGATGATAAACTAAAGTAAGAAGCAATATAATGGAAGCCTTGTTAGATAAGTCACATGCCTGGGTTCAAGATTGGAAGAAAATGCTTGAGTAAAGAAACATAGGAGTAACTAGATGCAGATAATGCAGCAAGATAACCTTTCCGAGATGTCTCCAACAATGGTTTTGTCACCTATGACAGAGTAAACTGCTTATTAAAGCCAGAGACGAAAGGCATAAAGAAATTTTAATGCTTATTACAGTATTTGCCATACCTCGGGTGCATTGGCAAGTGAGTGCACAAGGATGTCTATGCTGCCAAAGTCCTCCTTAACAGATTCAGCAACTTCCTGAAAAGTAAAGCAATGAACAAAAGATATAACAAGGCTATTCTTATGCAGTCACACAGGAGTCAGGACAGCATGAAACATGGTTAGTATTCATAAACAGCACTACGCTTAATACTTTCTTTGAATGATTAGGTTGATCGACACCAGAAATAAAATATCCTATGCTTAACTACCCAAATTAAAAAGCACTTATTAGTGATGAATCATCTCTCTTACTCGAGAAAGGAAAAGTAACATAGCTTCAGGCTTGATGAAGCAAAAAGGTAGAGAAGTAGACCAAAAAAACCCACCAGCTTACAGACATTGGTAATACAGAAATTGTATTTGTATGAGCAATGAAGTAAGATGACTAGTTGAAGGGCTTATGTAAAAATTTTACACAAAACTAAAGGACCACTGGATTGCCGTAACTGTGATTCATACGTAAAGTCGAACATAGTATGAAACAAATTATTTAAAAAATAATAATAATCTTATATCAAACTTTTTAAACTTTAGCCTTGAAATGTAATTTATACTTGCATCAAAACGCAATTTATAATATATAAGAAAGTCATGCATTCACATTTACAAGATAGGAAGAAGAAGAAAGAATACTAAAATAAGAGGAATAAATTAAAATACATTTTAATTCAGGGTTTCTATCATATAAATGAAAACAGAGAAATAAATTGTTCCTTAAGTGAGTTTTGGGGCTTTTGTCTCCATGATTCTAGAAGTCAAACAAAGAATGTGACACCAGACTAGGTACTTGGTCCCACTAAAATAAAGGCTACAAAAGTCTGCTGAAAACAATCTTTAGCAAAAAAATAACCAAATACAATTTTCACCGTTGAACTTGTACTAAATCTAATTTGTCCCATAAGTACATTCCTCAAGATTTTATCCAAGATGTCAACCAAAAGAGCATTATAACCAATGTTATTAAACTCGACCCGGTCATTGACCCGGTTGAGGTACTGGGTCACTAGTTGAACCACATGACCCCGTAAGTATATGCAATTCTATAATTTATATTAAAAACCTATAAACATACTCAAATACCTGTAAAAAATGATACCGGTTCCAAATATTGTAATATGAAAAAACAATAAATCACACAACATTGTCCAACAAATAAAAAAACACACAATACTTGACCTGTCTTCAAACACTTAACATCTACCACAAGTGAAATCCAGATGAAATCTTGACGATTCATTAATTTATCCCGTTAATTATAATTTTATCTTATTTATAAACTTCTTAAATTTAAAAAAAAAATGCCTGAAATGGTCTTCTTAAATTTATAAGCATTTTATTGATTTTTTTTTTTTGTATGAACTGAGCCGGGTTTCACCGGTTCCATTGCTTGGCCGATCCGCTACTTCACCCAGACCGGTTATATGATCAGTCTACCAGTTTTGTGAACACTGATTATGACCATACAAAAGTAAGTGTATGTACCTGAACTGTCCATTTGGCGGATCCAGCATAGCGCTTGTTTGTTTTTATCTATAAAATTGTCCGAACAAAAAAAAAGAAAAAAATCAGTATGAGGATATAAATTATGACAAGCGCGCACTTTGCATCAAAAAACAAACTAGGTATTTCTTGTTTACATCTTCTGGTACATCCTCAGGATTGTCAAAAACTGCATCCAACGGATAAACTTTAGTAATCTCCATCAACGAACCATCTGGTAATCTGGAAAGAAAACAGTTTCTTACTAGCAGTATATCACTTAGTCTAACAAACAAAATCAATAGCAGTATTTAATGCCGTACATGCGTGATTCATCAAATTTTCCACGTCGTAGGCTGGACTCAAAAATATTCAGTGCCTACAGAAATGGCTCACAGTTAGTAGATGTATTACTACAAAAGGACTGGAATACATACAGGGGGATCCAAAAGTCAGCAAACAGAACCCGGTGAATTCATATATCAACTGATAGGTATCCAATTTTTATCCAAAATAAATAGATAACTTACAGGTACCCATGTGCCAACGAGAATTTCAGCTCCTGCTGCAGCAAGAGATTTTGCAATTGCCCATCCATATCCATTATCATCAGCCACACCAGCAATAAAAGCCCTTTTACCTACATATAACGTTATTTTTAGTAGAGCACTACTTATTCTCATATTCTATGACACCAAAAATCTATGACAAGATGACCAACGAAAGAGATAAATCTGGATAACAGTTTTCTATTCATATATTGTATAATCATATACGTCAGCCTCAGTTGTAAAGGCCACCTTTTAATAGTTTTTACAGCCAAATAAGCACTAGTTTTCAAGATGCTGAGAGGATAAATTTTTTGACTCTATGCTGACTTGCACAACAATTCTGAGCATGGTATACTTTAAGGGAAAATGATTTCTGTCTTTGAGGCAGAAAACATTTCTCTGCCACTGAGAGAAAAAAAGGAGTGGGGTCCATCATTTTATGGGTTTCTCTCTCTCTCATTTTCTCTCAGTGGCAGAGAGGTGTTTTCTGCCTCAAAGGCAGAAATCATTTCCCCATACTTTAATTATAAAGTAGTTAATAGGAAATGAGAAGGTTAAGTTGTCAAAAAGTAGAAATATAACACTTCTCCTAAACAGTAGTTAGACATCAATGAGACATATATGTAAATAAAAACATAATATTCACAAGGAGCATTAGAGAAAAAGAACAATAACCTCTCAAATCAATTGGCAATCCTGAGACTGGATTTTTTGCACTAGACTCAGACATTGCCTTTGTAGCAATTTTGACAGATTTTATAGACGATGATGTAAAGCCCCGAAGGAAAGGTTGCACTGACGCAACATGACATACACTTGCAAGTTTATTCCATGATCCCACCTTGGACTTGCCACCAAGAACCACACCACCTGCATCTACAATCCTTTGTGATGAAGGAATGCACGATCTTGACATTGCAATTTGCAAGCCAGAAAATGATGTTGTCGCCATCTTCAATATGTGTAGTGTGGAAAAAGAGACCCTAAATCTACATAAGGAAACTAGCATCAGTACTTTGAAAAACACTACAGAAAAGACTTTATTGATTTTATGATTTTCATACCCAATACTTAAACATAAATTAGAGAAAGAGAAACGGGAAGTTCCAGTTATCAACAGCTTGATTAAAGGTTAGACAACTGAGGATGTCCAAGTTGTTATTCAATTAAATAAATTCATTGAAAATTTCAAATTTTTCGCCAAGCAGTTTGAACAAAAATTAACACATAAAGTACTTTATAGTTAATTTTGTCCCTAATTCTGGAAGTCAGAAAGAATAAATATACAAATAATTAATCGATTCAATAGTCCACCATCACTTCTCTGAATTCTACAAATCCCAGCTAAAATTTTCCTTCTTATATTTTAACAAGAAAAAAAATAAACAAATCGAACAAACTAATGTCCTCTGAGACAAAAGAACAAAACATTCTAAATCATAGGAAATCATTTGCTTCAATGGGACATTAAAAGGATTATCTAGTAGCCATAAGTCCACAACGAGTAAAACAAAAGCAACTAGTTGAATTTATTTTCAAAAACTGCCCTAGTGAAATGCTAAAGCCCTTTCCAGCAGAATTCCCAGAAAACCAGCAATCTAAACACAGTTATGCAAATAAGAAAATCAACTAGAACCACCCGGAAAAATACACAAATTCTGGAGTATTTAGCTATCTATTAATCAGATCATTCCCCAAATCTCCAGTTTTCACTAAATGGTAACTGATCCATAACAGCAACAAAGCTTGGTCCAGTGCACAGTACAGCAAAATGCACCTCGAATCCGTAAAAAGAACAAAACTTTAGCTCATAGAGTGTCGATCAAAGATAAACCCAGAAACGTTCTCATGCAGACTGAATAAATCTTCATTTCTCACTAAAACCCCACACAAACATTTTAACATGAAAATCCAGTAACTCAACAACCATAAGAGATTAATGCAAGAAGGGCAAGGTGGGTGTTACCTGATGGGTAGTAAAAGCGCCAATGTGAGGAGGAAAAATGAGGTTTGAAGGATGAGAATGATGCTCTCTGTGTTCCAGCCGCTGCAAAGAGTTGAATACTTAGGAAGTGTCGAAATGCTATAGTGTTAGCAGAAGCAAGGTTTCCTTGTGTTATCAACCTCAGTTGTCCGTGGCACGTGCAATGCACGTGGAGTCCCTCACATTTCGGGGGTTGGGGGGAGTCCATTTACATCAGAATTTATTTTAAAAAAAAAAAAAAAAATTCTCATAGATACATCAATATTTAAAAGACTAGTTTCCTAACGACCAAAAAAAAATTAGTCTCCTAATAATATTTGTAAGGATATTATCATAAAAAAATTAATATATATATATATATGTGTGTGTGTGGGATTAATGTTTCTCCTACCACAGAAAATAAAATTTTTTCATGTAACCCCAGAACAATACCGTTTTAGGATTGCAATTATTTTCTATAATAAGAAAAACATTTTTTCCTAAAATACATATGTTAAAAATTTTGTAAATTTCATAAAATAGAAATATAAGACTTGTTATCTTATGCAATAAAGACAACAAGCATGGAGCCTATTATTTAAAAAAAAAAAACAGAGCAACACAACTTTTCATAATCAGCTGGAGGATTCCCCACCAACAAGAGACTCACATTGTTGTTCATAAAATTGGTTTTGGGTAATTTCAAAGGGCAAAACTAATCTTATGTTGCATAAAAAAGTGTATCTTATGCTGTGAAATAAAATCAATGTGGGTCCCATTTTAATTTTTTTAATTTTTTTTGTGGGACCCACTTTAATTTTATTTCACAACATAAGATACATTATCTTATGTAACAAGATTAATTTTACCCATTGAAGTACAATCTTTTCTTATGTCACATGAGGTAGTATCTCTCATGTCATAAACATAACAAAGAGTGGGACCCACCATTTGTTAAAAAAAGATAGCACTAATTTTGATGCCTTACAATATGATAAAACAATCTCTTATTACATGAGAAAATGATTTTCATTATATTATATACCTCTTATTTTCTAGTTATTCAATATTATGGGTGTAAATAGGTTAAATGAGCCTATAATATGACTTGTATCAAGCTTAATTAGGAATAAAATTAAAAGTTGGTCCTTTAAAAAGTTTGGTTAAAAAATAGGTCATTATTCACTTTTATAGGTTTTGGTCTACAAGCCTACAAGACGACTTCTATTATATTATTTAATTTAATTTAAATAAAATAAAATAATTATTTAAATAATTTGAATACAAAATAATATTATTTAATTTAATTTACTTTTCAAAATCTTAATAGGTATAAAGGACTTAATAAAATGAAATAAACTGATAAGCCTAGACCAAGCTTTCTGATTTTTAAATATAAGTCAAATTGAATATATAATTTAGCTTACATCAGGTCAATAGAACAAGTCAAGCTAAAAATATTTTACATATGTTTGACTTATTTAGACCAAAGTCTAGTCTGGCATGACCCATTTACACTCTTATTAAATTATAGGCGAAATCAAACCTATAATTTAACTAACATCAAGTTACATCGATGTTGTGGACGCCGATGGCAGAACCGCGCTCGTTTTCTTTTCGGCATAGGGCTTGGAGCCGTGCTTCTAGTTGCTGGCAGAAGCCGGCGCCAACCTCCTCCATTGTGACAACTACAACGGCTTTGCGGCACTACACTATGCGTCGGTGTACGTGACAGCTGGCGTCATGAAGCTTCTTTTGGAGCTGGTAAATGGAATTCTGAACTGCTCTATGAGTTTTGGATTTTACGAGCATTGCCTGTATGAGAAGCAAACTCGGGTGTCTTTTGAATCCATAGGAGGAAGAGCTTAGGGGATCCTACACCTGATACACAACGATGTGTTTGGCCCTACACCTGTAGTGTCACACAAAAAATCAAGGTATTATGTTTTTTTACTGGTGATTTTTCACGATATGTGTGGTTATATTTTTTGCGTAGTTAATGATGAAATGTTCGATAAATTCTGTGAATTCAAGACTTTGGTGGAAAATCAGTTTGATAAAAAAATCAAGTTGCTAAGAACTGACAATGGAAGAGAGTTCTATCCAACAAAGTTTGATTAGTTATGTACAAGCAGTGGGATTGCAAGGTAGAAAACTACACCTTATTCAGCTCACCACGTGACCAGTCCCTTATATACCCTAACAAATAATAAATAGAAAGGGAGAAAGAGTGTGTGTTGTTGTGTCGTGACTTGTGATACAAGAGCATTCGTCGTGTTCGTTTAAAAATATTTTGTTTCATTTTTTTAAAAGTAAATAAAGGCATGCATTCATTTTCCTTTTTGCTTATTATACAAATATGTACGTTTGTTGTGATTTTTCACAATCAATTATATAAATCACATAAGTACGCAAGTGCATGTCAACAAGTAATAAAGTGGATGTGTAAGTCCAGATATCATTCTCACAGAGATTAAGTAAAGTTATAACTCTGTGTGAAGCAATCAAGGTAACAAAGATGATTTGTAAGTGGCTAATGACTAATTTAACTATTAAGAAATAAAATAAACTAGACTAATGATTAACTAAAAATAATGCAGCAACCAACAAAGTTTTCCAAGTATTCAAAGATAGATTGGGATCAATATCTTCATTATTGCAATTTCAACAGAATGCAGTAACAATGTTACAACAATCATCCATTCAGTAATTAGAACATTAATGGATGCAAGGGCTCTCACCAACAATACATGTATACTAAGTCCAACATCTCTATGGCCAACAAAGTTATAAATTCTTTAAGTTCAAGTTCTTAATGATTTTGTGGTGTGAATGATCTCTCCACCCACAATTAACTAATTTCACTTAGTTAAACCACAATGCTTAATAACATTCAGGATTCACCTATATCTCTATAGCCTAAATCTTAAGTACCTTGCAACTCTCTTTCGATGAATCAACAAGATTAGAGACAATTTAACACTTTATTAAACAACTGAAAGGAAAATCATGCAACAAAGTTTAGGCAATTCTGTTTACATCACAATAAGGGTACTTTATCACTCAATCATAACAATTTAGCTCATACTTAGGTGGAAAGAAACAACAAAGGAAGAATAAGATTCCATAAAGTTAAAATAAAGAAAACAGGGACGTTGTTGTAGCACTGCTCTCGCAGCAACTGTGAGCTCCACCACCATCAACCTTGCCTCAGTCGTCGGAATAATTCAGCAAGTTACTGGGTTCAATGATCTCTCTATTGAACCCTAGCTCCTTCCTTCGATTCACTGGATATCTCTCTATGAACCCTCAAATTCCTCCCAAGTGTTTCCCTACTTTCTTTCTCTAAGATATGCCTTGAATTGGGTGTCTAAAACATTTCCAGTCGTACCTCTGTGTGTGGGTTTCTTCTCTTTATATATTTTGATGCTTTGGGCTTCAATCAGCTCTTCATATCCATGCAAATCTTATTCAAATATGCCTTGTGATTGATTGAGAATATGACTTTGTTTTGCTGTAATGCTGACAGAGCATGCTGCTGCATATCTTCTCCAAATTTATCCAAATATATAATTCAAATCTGAATTGGATATGAGAGCATTGATTTGTTGAAGATTGGATTGTGATTTCTTGAATATCTTTAAGCGTGTATCCAGATCAGGTCTCTGTTTGCGTGTTCATAAACTTCTTCCGACAATTTGGGCTTGGATCCATAGCTTAAATGATTCACTGTTGACCTCATCTACACTGTTACAACATTGCTTTCCGATGCTACAGCATTGACTTGCAGTAAAATAACAAATGCATTAAATGTTTCCAATGCTGAAATTATATCCAAATATTCATATTCACCATAATTCTCAATTAAATCATGAAAACATAGAATTCATGCATTAATCATATAAAATCAAGATGATTATGTGTAATCATGGCACCAAAACATCACTATTAAGCCAAAAAATATCTCTCTTTTAGAGAGTTATCAACGTTGCAGTGCCCTTAAGATGATTATTATTATGATTCTAAAAACATCACATCATGTCCAATGTATTTTTCCTTTGGTCTTGTAGAGAGTCATACATATAATGTTGTGGTTGTCGCCAATGTTTTTACTTCTTATTGGTGCCGACAATAAAAAAATAGCAAAATTAAGAGCACATTCGGTCCCATGTTGCCTATCCCTTTTCTATTTAAGGTAAACAATACCTACTACATTGCACCTCAAATCACGAAATGACTTGTCTTGTAACGTCCATAACCTTATGCCCGACGAAACCAGCATTATCATCTCGAGCAATATTTCCTTATTCCCACCAACATTCTCTTCCCATTCTCCGCAAAGCAACCCACTTCCTCTAAAGCCAACAACACTAGACACCCGAACCCGCCGAAGACGATGTTAAGTATAAGACTCAATGGTGGAAGCGTGAGAGGTTAAGGCACTTGATGCGGTGGAAGGATGGTAGTCCCAACGATTGAGTGAATGCTAGGTATACGACAAAGGATTTGGTGAGGGACTACAAGGCTGGACCTACATACGTGGTGGCTAAGGTTGTGGTTGATGTGAGAGTTAATGAGTATAGGGAACCAGAGTTCTTAGTGAAATGGGTCAATTTAGAAGAGCCCGTGTGGGAGCCTGAAAAGAATGTGGATCCCAAACTTATCAAAGTGAAGCTGAAGATGAATGACAGAATAATCAAGAATTTGCCTGGCATGATGCATATTTTGGGTCTTACCAGAAATCTAATATCCGTCGGAAGTATGGCGGATGCATGTATCAATTTCAACAGTGACTAGTGAATATGCAAGTTGACTGAAGGAGCTATGGTTATTCCAAGAGGAAAACGTCATGGTAAACTATGGAAACTGCTAAGTCGTACGGTGTTTGGTGGTGAAGGCTACTTATCTAAACAGTGACAAGATCTTGGCTTTGCACAAGGAGAGGTGATCGTTGGGTGTGATAGTTATAGTGCCATTTTTTTGGCTAAGAACCTAGGTTTCCATATGAAGACCAAGCACATCGGCATACAGTACCATTTCATCAAAAATAAGATAGATGACACGGTTGTATTGCTGGAGAAGGTTGACACAAAGGTGAAAAGTGCTGACTTTCTAACCATGGTAGCAAATTCAGAGAAGCTTGAATGATGTACACTGGTATTGAGATTGAAAAAATATGCGAAGCATTCACCGAGTGGGAGAATGTTGGGTATGAGTTATACATCGCATTCGAACGAGTACTCTTGTTGGCGGGGTCAGCAGAAAGTCAACTGGACATAGTACAAACTGAGTGACTTGTAACAACTGTTGGTGAGGCGAGTATAATAAAGACAAACTAGACGTAGTATGCATTGGGTGAATCAGGATAAATCGTTGTGTCAATTTATCTTCCCTTTCTCTTTTTCAATTTGAGATTGTGTGTGTGTATGTGATTGAGTCGATTCCAACAAATGTATCATCCTTCCCTTATTAACCGAGGAAAGTAACTTACGTACTTTTAACTTTAATTGTACACATTTATTATAAAAAAAGTATTACTTAAATTGACTTAATTCCGAACAGAATGTTGAAATACAAATCATTAAACCACATAATGTATTGAGTCACATGTACAAAATATAAATACTACGGTCAAAATATAATTATGGTATAGTACAAAACTTCATACATGAATAAATACATTGATTTTAATGGTTAATACTTCTGTCTTGGACATATATATCATGCACTTTAAGCTCTGTCCTTCGCATGTGAAAACACACATTGATATTTATCTCAGTATAAATAAAAATTAAAAGTATTTTTGCATAAGTGTAGCATTTTTAGCCATAACTTAGTCTGAAAAAATCCTCCATTATTTTAATTGAATAATGCTAATATCATAATATTTTAAAGTAGTTTAACATTACAAATATATGACATTATCTTTCAAGACATTTTCATGAGCATTGATTTTTTATTTATGGGAAAACTTCAAAAAACCCCTACAAGTTTTCTCAAAATCACTTAACCCCCTCCCCGAAATTTTTAATCATTTACCCCCCTACTCAAATTTTTTTTATCACTTACCCCCCTAATTTGATTTTCCATCCAAAATTTTGTCAAATTTTTTAAAAGGTACCAAAATTATCCTTAATAGAAAAAAGAAAAACATAATTTCCTCACAAACATAATTTTTTAAAAGGTACCAATTGTAAAACTTTATGTTTTATCATAGCTAACTCTTGAACCACAAGGTGATTTAAGGGGACTAAGTGAGAATACTTCATTGTTATAATAATAATAATAAATGATTTGATATAAAACTTGCCACAATTACAATTTTTTCTTGGAGACAAGACTTGGAAGCCTCGTTGTATGTCAATATTAGCATTTGTTGGTGAATTTTGTTTTGAGAGTGTGAATTATATTTTAAGTTTTTCGCTATATATCAGTTAAATAGATGGTGTGAGTGGGGCAAGTGTTCTGCATATATACCGAAACTGGTCCATATTTTTGTATCTCCCATTTTTTTTCACAGATACATTGGACCTCGTGGGTTTTGATAAAAGTAGGCTTGTTAATGAAGTAGGTTTTTTTTGCCAAACTCTATGATAGTACTCAACTTTCGCAACATACCTTGCAGGTTTTACAGTAAAAAATCCAAACTTTCTCTGCAGGAATTAAAATATAAAAAACAGCATCCTACTTGTTTCGTATATATGAATATTTTAAACGTAAATTTATAACAATTGTTTGCAAGCTTAAAATTAAGCAATCATCCCTTAAATTAAAAAGATATGTTAAACTAGTTACAAAGTAGTTTGTGAGGAAATTATGTTTATCTTTTTTCTATTAAGGGTAATTTTGGTACCTTTTAAAAAATTTAACAAAAATTTGGATGGAAAATCAAATTAGGGGGTAAGCGATAAATTTTTTTTGAGTAGGGGGTAAACGATTAAAAATTTCGGGGAGGGGTTAAGTGATTTTGAGAAAACTTGTATGGAGTTTTTTGAAGTTTTCCCTTTATTTATTTATAAGAGCTCTGTATTATGCTATATAGCACTGATACCAACACGAGACACGTGACACGTGACACGATACAACACGACACTCCGACACGTTAATTCTAAAAAATATTAGATTTCGACACGTTAGGACACGTTTTGATATTAAATAATATTTTTAATTTATGTAGTGTATATTATATTTAATATTCAATAATTTAACAAAAAATGAATCTAAACTTATAATATTCATAAATTTTGCAAAGAAATATAAGATATCCCAAATATTTATATTAAACTCAATAAAATAGTAATTGCAATCTAACGAATCTAATAGTTATATTACCCGATGGGCTGATCGTCATTCTATGGATTAACACAGTATCTCCTATATTGTTTCCTGTAAGAACAATTGCCTCAACAACATGATTCCCCAACTTTGTAATAAGTAATCTCGTACCGTTGCATAAACCTCTTGATTGATCAATATTTCTCATTAGCATCACCGGTACTTTAAACAATTTCAAATTTTGAATTTCAGATCAGAAGACCAATTCCAACATAAAAAGCAATTACAACACTTGATTATCGAATTAAAATTTTGAATTTCAAAATCATATTTATTAATTAATTATTCTTTTATATCTGCCACCACAAACGGTCATTTAATTATTCAATTTAAAATTAAAATTCGATTTTTAAAAGAAATTCTTTTCCGACCATCCATATTTAAATTCAAAATATTAAACCATTTCAAATTTCGAATTTTAGATCAGACGATCAATTCCAACATAAAAAGCAATTAAAACACCTGATTATCTAATTTATTTTGTCTGTCAGCTCTCTTGATTGTTATGATATTTGAATCAAATATATAACAAAGATAATGTCTTTGTTATATCATTATTGTGTATATATTATTTAAAAAATAACCATAACGAAATTGTGAATTGAATGACAATAAGGTCTTCAACAATTGTGAAATTTGTTTTTGTTTCTATTGATCTCCGTGAATAGAGATCGTGAATGCATGTCCGTGAAAAGAATTTTCTTTTTATTGAATTTAAAATTTCGAATTTCAGATTGTGCAAAATAAATACATAATTTCGAAATTTAATTGATAAACCATTTAAAATTTCGAATTTCAGATGAGATGACCAATTCGAACATAAAAAGCAATTAAAACAGCTGTTTTCTTTTTGGATACCAATGTGATGGGCAGAGAGACATTAAATGCCTTGACTGCCACCACAAATGGTCATTAAATTATTCGATTTAAAGATTAAAATTCGATTTTTAAAAGATATTCTTTTCCCACCATCCATAATTAAATTAAAAATTTTAAACCATTTCAAATTTCAAATTTCAGATCAGACAATCAATTCCAACATAAAAAGCAATTAAAACACCTGATTATCCAATTAAAATTTCGAATTTCAAAACCATACTTATTAATTATTCTTTTATGTCTGCCACCACAAATGATCATTTAATTATTCGATTTAAAAATTAAAATTTGATTTTTAAAAGAAATTCTTTTCCAACCATCCATATTTAAATTCAAAATTTTAAACCATTTCAAATTTCGAATTTTAAATCAGATGACCAACTTCAACATAAAAAGCAATTAAAACAGCTAATTTCTTTTTTGATACCAATGTGATGGGCAGTGAGACATTCAATGCCTTATCTATTAAGAACATCTACGGATTACATATAAGGATTATGCCCAAATTTTATATAATAGAGATAACCTAAACACCTAGGGATTATGATTACATCCAAGTTTTATATAAAAGAAATAACCTACGAATAGGATTACATATACCAAAATTCATATCAATATAATCTATGACTCTCTAGGGATTAGGATTACTATTAATAAACTTCAAACAAAATTATAACCTAAGGATTAGGATTACACATATCAAACATATAACTACCTAAAGACTAGGATACACACAATAAAATTTCATACACAACGAATCTACAACCACCTAGAGATTAGGATTACCTGGTCTCCGTGTTTGGTGACTTCTACAACTTGAGAAAGAGAAGCGGTTGGTAAACAAAGAAAGATAATAATAAAAATAAAAATTTAAAGTGAGGAGAGAAATAGTAGAGGAGAAGAAGAGTGATGGAGAATTATTGAGGATTCAGAGTGAATTGGTTTGGTTAAGTTAGGCCTCTATTTATAGTTGAAGTTTTGGGCTCGGATATGAGTTTCGTGCATTTATTTCCTTTTTCTTTATTAATTTATCTGGCTCAGATTTTGGCTTTATACACTATTTTCTTTTTATTCTTAATTTCTTCAAATATAACTAACTTATTTGCTAACTCAAGACTGACTCATGATTGACTCATCATATCTAAACAATTTATGTTTGTTAACTCATCATATATAAACAATTTATGTTTGTTGACTCATCAAAACTAAACAATTTATGTTTGTTGACTTATCCTAATCCGATCAAACATTAATGCATAAATCATCAATCAATCAATTAATCATAATTTATCTTCTTATATATATATACACACATATTAATATTATTTTATTATAAATAATCTAGAGCATTACAAAGTATCAAAATTATTTTTCAATAGCACTCATATCGCACAAAATAATTTTATTAAAGATAAAATTAATATTATAGTTTGTTATCTATCACCATAAAAAATATATATATACATATACATATATTTTTCTACTAATTTATAGTTTATTATATTATTATTATTACTATTTTATTAATAAAAATATGGGGTATTACAAACATAATTAATTTTTATTAAAAAACTAAATAAATTTTAATTGTCAATGATCCAAAACATGATATTGATTTAAATTAAATTAGGATTTTGTTTGTCAAAATGATTTTGGGTACTATATCGATGGTGGAAAAAAAATATCTGGGCCCTCGCTGAATTCGGCACCGTAAAACGCACAGCATTGGCACGAAGTGCTTGTGCCAAGCCCAAAAACCCTAACCGCTTAGCGCTTATAAAAATCAGAGCAGCCGTAAATTCTATCACACTTTACTCCTTCCCAAAACCCTAACTTCGAAACGTAGGGTTTTTGCAGAGCCTCCATAACTCGTAGCTTTCTCTTCCTCTTCGGCTATCCCTCTTTTTCTTTCGTTTCTTCCATACTCGTATCCAATGGGCAAGTCAAGCAAGAAATCTGCTCCCAAAGTAAGAGTTTCGCGCAATTATTTATACTTCTCTTGAATTTCTGTTCTCTTTGAATGATTTTTTCTCTTATAACGTTGTCTTAGGTGCTATGACTAACTTTACTGCTCATTCTTTTTTGTTTTTGTTTCCTTGAAGGTTGACGCTGCTCCAGCTGTTGTTCCGCTATCAAAGCCTGGGAAAAAAGGTATCGAGATATCATCCCTTGCGCAGTCTCGCCGTTATGTTACGATTTTTGCTGTTAATATTTATACTATATTGTTTTTGTTTACTGGATATAAAGAAAGCTTAAGTTTTTTTTTTTTTTTTTAAATCCCCAGCTGTGTAGACGGTATTTTTTAAAATTTTCAATTTAGTTTTAAAACTCGCATCTTCGATTTGATTGGTTATGGTTAATCCTACATTGGTGTTATAGAGTTGTTGATAGGCCAAACTATTCCCGAGACCATGAGACAGATGAGTCTGTGTGAAGTTGAATTTTTATATTTAGTTTTTTTTTTTATTATTAATTTTTTTCTTGGTCTATTTTGATTTTGACGCAGGCAAGAGGCAGGCTGATGATGAACTCGAGAAGAAAGTGAGTGCAAAGAAGCAGAAGATGGAAGAGGTTGCTGAGAAGCAAAAGAAAGAAGTGAAGGTGCAAAAGAACAAGAAGGAAAGCAGTTCAGATGATTCCTCTTCAGAATCTGAAGACGAGGTATTGCACATGATTATATATGATTCGGTATAATGATATTTTTTTGTTCTGGTATTGTTATTGTGTTAGCTTCATGTTGGACTCTTTTGGGCTCAGAAACCTGCAGCAAAAGTTGCTGTTCCATCAAAAAAGCAACCTGCCAAAAACGGCACTCTGAGTACCCCAGCAAAGAAAGGCAAACCAGTTCCCAGTTCCAGTTCTGATTCCTCGGATGATGACTCTGATGAGGATGAAGTGAGTGCAAAAGTTACTGAGAACCAAAAGAAGGAAGCGAAGGTGCAAACGAATAAGAAGGAAAGCAGTTCAGATGATTCTTCAGAATCTGAAGATGAGGTATTCTACATGTGGCTATTTAAAGTTTAATGCATGATAAAGTTTTAATTTCATGTTCATGTACTGATCATTTTATGGTTGTGTTACTGATATTGCTTTTATTTCATACTTTAACCTTTTTTTGTGCTCAGAAACCTGTGGCCAAAGTTGCTGCTCCTTCAAAAAGTCAGCCTGCTAAAAATGGCACTCTAAGTACCCAAGCAAAGGGAGGCAAGCCAGCCCCCAGTTCCAGCTCTCCTGAATCTTCGGATGAGGATGATGATGACTCCGATGAGGATGAAGTGAGTAAAACACTTTCCATAATGGGTTGGAAATAGTGATCGCTTTCTAATTATTAGTGGATGTTTTATTGTTTTCAGGCTCCAAAATCCAAGGTGGCCCCTGCTGCAATTAAGAATGGATCTGCTTCTACAAATAAGAAAATCCAGCCAAGTGAAAGCTCTGAGACTGATTCTGATGACAGCTCTGATGAGGACAAAGTAAATACTGGATTGTTAATATCTATCTTATAGTTGAATCTCTTGACTCTAATAAAACAATAATGGAGAAATTGGCTGTTTAAAATCCAGGTTTTGGCTGCTGCTGCTGCTCTTGCTGCTGCTGCTGGTGGTAAGAACGTGTCTGCCAAGAAGGTCGATTCTGACTCAACCTCAGATGAAGACTCAGATGAAGACTCAGATGAAGACGATGTAAGCATTTTTTAGTATTCTATTCCGACTCTGTCTGTTAGTAGCACAGATTAAGATGATGCAAGCTTTTTTTTTTGCCTTGCCATCTAATCAAATTTTAATTCATTGTGTAATGCCATCTTCCTGTGTCTTTTTTGGTCTTAGGATAAGAAAAAACCTGCAACAACATTGTCCAAAAAGATGCCTGCCTCTGCAGTTGCTCCAAATAAGAAAGTTGAGACAAGTGAAGGCTCAGATGATGAATCAAGTGACAGCTCTGATGAAGATAATGTAAGTTTTGGATTATTGGCTGTAAGGGATATTTTTTTAATTGTTATTGGAATGACAAGTTCTTGGATATACAGGATACAAAGCCTCCTGTAACTGCTGTGTCCAAAGCTTCTGTTGCAACAAAGAATGTTGACAACTCAGATTCCGAAGATAGCAGCTCCGATGAAGACAATGTAAATCTTCTAGTTTTTTTTTTCTTTTAATATTTTTTGTTTGTTTGTTTTTGTTTTTAAGCTTGTATTAGCTGATGGGTGTCATACATACATTCAAAAAGGTCAAAAGCACTCCCTTCTAATGGGATTGTTGCAATTTGTGCATACTCTCTATGTATTATTTTATTTATTTAGTGATCAATGATCTCAGTTGAGATTCACAATGTTGTTGCAGAATATTGCAACAGTTTCTAATGGTAACATGAAACTAGTACCCAATGTGAAGACAACTGAAAAGGAGTCCAGTGAAAGTCCATCTGAGAATGATTCTTCAGATGATGATATTCATTCCATATACACTTGTGTAGTTATTAGTTTTGTATTTCTGAATCTTGCAAGTTTTTTAAGCTTGTTATTGTGGATTTTGTATATTGAAATGGAAACTTGATAGTTTATCATTGAAGTATTTGATGTTTTTTTATTTATTTATGATTGACAAAGATTATGTCTTATGTTAATAACAGGGAAAAATGGATGTTGATAAGGATGATAGCTCTGATGAAAGTGAGGAAAAACCACAAAAGAAAAAGGTTTAAGTCTTGATATTCAGACTGATTTACCTGACCAAATTTTCCCTACTTAGTTATTTCATTTTTGTCATTTGTTATCTGGTAATGTCATTTTTCATTCTTATTTTGTATCCTGAGTCTGAATGCCTCAAATAGACTATAATCTATTTTAAATACTTTTGAAAATGATAGTAATGATGGTTTTTGACTCTCTAGACACTGAAAAGCAGCATATTGTTAAAAAGCTGGTAGTCTTGGTTTTTGTGAAAGTTATTAGCATAGTTTTAATTTCTTAAAGTGTGTTTAAAAAGCTGGTTGTCTTGGGTATTGTGAAAGTTATTGTTTATTAGCATAGTTTCAATTTCTTACCTTTCTTTTCACTGTAGCCTGTGAAAGATTCAAAAGAAAGCTCTGATAGTTCAGAGGACAGTGAGGAGGAAAATGAGAAACCTTCCAAAACTCCCCAGAAGAGAGTGAGCATATTGCTTAGACGTTCATTTTGTTTAATCTTGTGATTTCCTGAAGTAATATGTTTCACTCGTGTGAAACAGGTTAATGATGTGGAGATGGTTGATGCTGCCTCGACTGGAAAGAGAGCTGTATTTGACTGATATTTTCTTTTTCCTTTTCTGCGTTGAAAATGTTCAAATGATTGATATGATGTTTCTTTAAACTTTGCAGCCTAAAACCCCAGCAACACCAAATGACCAAAGTGGCACTTCAAAGACACTATTTGTTGGAAACTTGTCATATAGTGTGCAGCGAGCTGATGTGTATGTATCAATTCTCATGTATGCATTTTTTCAGTTATTTTATGTATTATGTATCTCATTTTAAAATTGTTCAGGGAAAATTTCTTCCAAGACTGTGGTGAAGTTGTTGATGTCCGTCTTGCTACTGATGATGAAGGGAATTTTAAAGGCTTTGGACATGTTGAATTTGCAACAGCGGAGGCAGCCCAAAATGTGAGCTTTTGCTCCGTTGTCTTGTGTGTGGAAAAATCATTTTAGGACATCCAAAATATATTTCGAATATAGTTAAAGCTCTTATTTTGATTGCATGCTAGCTATTTGCTTATGGAAGCAACTAGCTACAGTTAAATTGCTTTCTGTACTGCTTATGTTTTTCATTTTTATCTTGGTTCTGTTTATTCAGTCTTTGCTCTGTGCTATGTTATGCTTTGTTGATTTGTGTGTATCTCAAATACATTTGAGTTGAGAACCCACTTATTTTTATAATTGTAGGCCCTTGAGTTGAATGGGCAAGAATTGTTGCAACGTGCTGTCCGGCTTGATTTAGCTCGGGAAAGGGGTGCATATACTCCAAATAGCGGCGGGTAATTAGTGTGTACAAGTTGTTTAGTTATTTTATTCTGTGCCTCACTTTCACTCATTACCTTTTCTGTTTCTTTGTTAATAATTTTAGCAACTGGGATAACTCATCCCAGAAGAGTGGACGAGGCCAGTCTCAAACTGTATTTGTAAAGGGTTTTGATAAGGATGCTGAGGAGGAGGAGGTAATTTTATCTCTCAGTTAATAAGTTTCAGCATGAAGATTGTATGCATCTCTTTATTTGCGGAGCTTACTTTGTTTTAGCAGTAAATAAAACCTACTTTCTTTCAGATAAAAGCTAGCCTGGGGGAGCATTTCGGATCTTGTGGAGAAATTACAAGGATATCAGTTCCGAAAGATTATGATTCTGGTTCTGTTAAGGGGTATGTCTCTCTGTTTTTATATTGGATGTTCTTGCCTAAATGATTGTCATATCAGCATGCAACCTGGTATTTGAGTATGTCAATCTGACTTTTGTAATTTTTACAGGTTTGCGTACTTGGACTTCAGTGATGTTGATAGCATGAATAAAGCTCTGGAACTCCATGAAACTGAACTTGGTGGTTATACCTTGTCAGTGGATGAAGCCAAACCCAGAGATAATCAAGGTTCGGGTGGAAGGAGTGGTGGTGGTCGATTTGGTGGAAGGGGTGGCAGAGGTCAATCTGGCGGAAGGGGTGGCAGAGGTCAATTTGGTGGCCGGGGTGGCAGAGATTTTGGTGGAAGGGGGGGAAGTGGGGGCAGAGGTGGTCGAGGAAGAGGAGGCGGTGGTAGGGGTCGTGGAGCACCTAATAGACCTAGCTTTTCTGCACAAGGTATAACCTCAATTAAATTTTGTATTGGTTGCTGTTGTATTAAATATGTTACTGCTCATAGTTTGATTTTTTTTTTTTTTTTGGGTTTTAGAAGTCTTGCTTTCATGATCATATTTTACCTGCTTCAATTACTCTTCTACTAGTCACAACACGACTTTATTCTTGGTATTGTTAAGTAACTGTATTTTTTAACATATGGTTACTATTTATTGAATTTATTTTAATATTAGCCAAACTTGCATATTCTAATATTGTTTTTGTTAGATATTTCCCTTTTTAAAAAAATTAACATAATATAGTTACGGTTTTTAATTTCACCAATTTACTATTTTGTTTTATAAATTAACACGCATTCATGATATGTTTCAACGTTCTATTGCCATATGTCTTGTGAGTTATGACATGATTTTATTCATATTGATAAATAGAATAATCTGTACTGGTGCTATTAGTTTGTCATAGTAATTTCAAGCAGGTTTGCTATTTAAAGTTTCATCTTTTTTAGTATTGGTTCTTAATCCAAGTAGTTTATCTTTAATGTTGATTCATTGAATTTTATGATGTTTAATAATTAGTAATATATTTACATTATCTTCGATTATATTCTCTGTTCTCTAAAAAATCTGAAAATTATACAACTACTTAGTATACTTGCAGAATCAGGATTATCTTTTTATGCTGCTTCACTCAATTTCATTTTCTGATTATTTGATCTTATGATTATCAGGGAAGAAGACCACTTTCGCTGATGAGGACTAAGGGTGGCAGTCTTGCAGATACTGAAAATTTACTACTTTATTGCTTTTTCATTTTCCAGTAGATTTTTCTCCTCAGTTTTGGTATTTGTTATTATGAATTCGTAAAAATCAGGCGTATTGGTAAAATTTTGTTATTGATAGTATCTTGTCATATGGATTATACTATACTACTACTCATTTGGCAAATTTGTGGTTCATTACTTTGTTATATCCCATATAATTATTATTTATATTTAATGGATGATAGTTTCTATTTACTATTCCAATGGTGGAAAAAAGTTGAGGACATTTTCCTGTGATTGCCGCACTTTTGTTTATGACGGTTAAGCTTTCTTGTCGCCTTTGAAGATGCCAGTGAGCATTTTAACTTTGCATGTTGTCTTTTTTTACCATTTGTTAAAACATTTTTCGGGCCAATTTTTTTCATACTTTATACCTCTATGTTGTTTTATAACAAAAAAGCATCGATGGCGTCTTCTTTGCTTGAAATTTGTGGATCAGACTTCTGTACTTTTTTGTCTTGCTTCAATATCTTTTCTACTAAATACCATTTTCATTTCACGGAATATCTAATCGAAGTTTTTTAAAATGTTGTGGATTATAATAATTTTATAAATCAGAATTTTGATTGAATGTTAAAAGCACTTAAAAAAAAATTATTGAATATATCAAGAAGCACTTAAAAAAAAATTATTGAATATATCAAGATATATTTTTAGAATGATTTTATTGATGTATTTAATACAAATTATTCAAATCTCGTAAGATTTTTCTTAGTTACTTAAATCTATCAAGATTTGTGTAATTTAGTTTTCGTTTTTCCAACTTATGACAAAATTAAAAAGCGAAAAGATAGATGCTTCATCAAAAATTGGGTATTTGCACAATATTGAAACGAAGATAGATTATATAATAGGGAGTTGGGTTAGGCTTTTAACAATTCAATCAATCAAATAACCTACAACCTATGATGAGTGGATGTTATAATTTGTTAATTCAACTTAAATTAATATAATTATTAATTATTATTTTGATGGCATACATAGTGAAATAGTTTTGCATAATATGTACCAATATCTCTGTTTCATTGTTAAGTCTTTGCGATGTTTGGATCTTTTGTAAATCGAAATTAACAGTAATGCATGAATAGTCTGAAAGACATTCAAGTCACTATCCAGATCCAATGCACTGTTACAAAAAGTCAAATTTTGAGGTTAAATTTCAATACAACTATGCGAGTATATAAAATCCAACGACTGAAATGGAAAAGAGCAAGAACAATGGTGGAATGCAAACATCTATTGGCAATTTTTACTTGCTGCAATTCGGAGTATGTAAGAAAGGTTTTATATTTCGAGACTTTTTGTACCATAGAAACAAAAGTCTTGTTGGACTTATATATTAGAAAAAATTATGTGTGAGATCCATGTTAGTAGCGAAATCAAAGAATATATAGAAAAATTTATCTTCTCGTGTTATATGAAAAATATAAAACTCACATTAATCATAAATAAAAGTTTTTTTCCCACCAAACACGGCAAGGTTCTTGCCCAAATGCTTGCGGACAACAGTTTTCACTTTCAAAATATTACATGAAAACTATAAATCCCACTCTGATCATCAATAAAAGTTTTTTCTATCTCCTATTTAGATTCTAATCTAACGATATTGAAAAGTGGTAGGCAGAAAAAAAGTAGACAGAATAACTTATCTTTTAAAAAATCTAGTTAGAGTGAGCCAATTTGCACCTTTAAAACCACACACTAACCTATTTTTACACAAATAACTTCTCGTTCCTGCCATAACAAAAAATCTAGTTAGAGTGAGCCAATTGCCAGAGATAGTGGAGTTTATTTTGAGTTTTACCCTTTTAATTACTTGCTGGGTTAAATCCTGCCATAACTAAAAGTCTTAGTGCAAGGTGCCTTGGGAACATATGGCTTGTATCATTTCAATGGACTTCAACTTTCTCATCACCCAAGTCAACAACATCTACCTAGTTTTGGTTCCTGCAATTTGGTTTCCTTTTGCAATACTTCTGTTCTGTATCCCCTAGCTCAGTTCTGTAGCCTCTAGTTATGTGCCTATAAATTGTATTAAATAATACTAGTTGTGAGTCTAAGAAAGCTATTTCCTCCAATTATATGTACTCCCTAATCCCTATAATATTGTGGCCTGGGTCATTCCAGCGGAATTTTTTAAATGGTCCCGGACTATATCAACAAATCATGGTCCTCTCACACCAAATGATCATTTTATCCCTGTTTTTTTTTTTATCAAAATCCCTATTTGACCCCTATATAACACAAGGACCGGTGGTCTTGGACCATGGAAAGAGATGAGGCTTTCAAAATTGTACTCAACTCTTGTAAGGTTTCAATTCCTAATAAAGCTAATCTTGATTTCAGTTATGCATGTTGTTTGGAAAAAATCTCTCAAACTTTATTCACCCCTCAACTAAAACATGTGACAAACCATTTGATTTTTTTTTTTTGGTAATCACAAACCATTTGATTTAGTTCATAGTGATCTTTCTCACTTGTTAGACATAAATTTGTTAGGGATATAATAAAATCACTTACCCAACAACTCAAAATTTTGCTATTATGAGTTCGATTATTGTTAACTCTATTTTTATGATAAAAAATAAATTTCAGTACAAATTAGATGTACGACTGACGGAATTGCAATTACAACTATTTATGGGGAATGATTCGTTTACAAATTTTTTTACAAATTTTTGCAAATTACACTATGTACTCTCGGAAGAACATAGTCTAATTTGTAAGAGTTTGTAAACAAAAAGTTTGTAAATATAACTCTCTCCACTATTTATATGCAAAAGAGTAAAGATATTATTCACAACTGAATGCTTGTATGAGCTTGGGGGTGATCACCCACCCTAGGCCCCCCTCTATTGTGCGCAAAAGTATTTATAAAATTTGGATTATTATATACATGGATATCACAATTTTTTTAATTCTATGCATTGGTTATTAAACAACAAACATTAAAAAAATATTATTTAGCAACTCAAACACTTATATTGTACTATCTTATTTGTATTGTCCCTCAATATGTATAAAATATCAAATACAACTCTATCATGGGTGACTTAGAATAATGTTTTAGTTACTCGAAAAGTAGAATGGTTGTTGGTCTAAAGTATGACATGTAAACGTGCAATCCTCATAATGGAGTGACTATCGATGGGTTTGTCAACTTAGAGGTCCTAACATTAGGATGACCAGTATTAAGGTCAACAAATGGGGACAAGGGTGGTGGTTTCCTCCATGTAAAACAATAGGTAATGGTGGTAGTGTGTTGAAGGGCCTTAAATTTAGGGGAAAGGTTTAAAAGGTATTGTATATGCTTATTTAGAGAGTTTATGCCAAAAGGTGTGAGGTGGATCCCATAAGTGCGTACGGTGTGTTGTTTGGGCTTAGGGGAATATTTGCCAAAATATTATTATTTAGAATGATTTATGATATATTGTAAGAAGGAGAGGAAAATATTTAAAGTGCTACCGTCGCACTATTGAGTAGGTGCGATCAGCCAATAAAAATTGAGGAATAATTATGTTGTTTGTACGAATTGAAGATAATTTTTTTTTTTTATCTAAATGTCACTTGAGGAATGACAGATGTACCTATTACAGTTGTATACAAAATGATCTCGAAGGAAAGAGCCTTAGAATTTAATGAAATAAAGACCCAACCCAAGATAGGAATTTGGGGTTCAATCTGGAACGATCATTATGTGAAATAGAAAACACATTTTAGTTACTTGAATAGCAGTATAATTTTCACCTCTTGTTTAAGAGTTGTGCAAGGATGTACAATACTTATCATGGGTATTTTCTCTAGCTTAATTCCTTGGTTTCCTATGATGGTGGACAATACAATGGCAATATTGCACACCCATGCCATTGCAGGAACCTTCGGGTCGGGGGAGTATTCCTTGGGCTCTTTTGTAGATCCTAAGCTGAACAATTTATTTTTTGAAGGATATGGTGAATATGTTGCCTTGTTTTATGGCTTAAAAATGCAAATGGTTAAAATTGGGTTCCACCAAATACGAATATAGTTCCTTAGAATTTTGTGTATTGTTTCACTCAATGTCATAAGCACAAGTTTAATATGTGTCTTCATTTGAATTATAGTTCCACTTCCACCAAGGATGTCCGAAGAGGATATGGAGAGAGGTGACAACTACTCATAGCGAAGTAGTTTATGCAATATGGTGTAAAGGTAATAAGCTTGAAGATTTCAATATAAAATACACAAATTCATTATATGGTGATGTTGAAGCATAGGCCGCTAACAAAAACGTGTTAGCCAAGTCGAGATAACAATATAACTACACTATATTTTGGTCTTTGTAGTGATCGAAATGACAATATAACTACACTATATTTTGGTCTTTGTAGTGATCGAATCATATAAGAAATAGAATACTAGAGAATATAAAAGCTGAAGTGTTAATATGGATTCGAATCTATATTCTCTTTCATTATTTATGCTTTTTCTCTTCATAACAAGTAATAAGATTTATAATTGAAATGACTTTTTGCTGCATTGTCATCGCAAAATGATGTTGTATTCTCTCAAAGGATATATGTTATAGTCTTGGGTTATGGTTAAATAATCAATCATGTGAGCTTTTATATCATGTATTTTGACACTTCTGAATCAAAAAAAATTATTAATTATTTGATTTTTGGGATGTATGATAATATAATGCGAAGATTTAGAAGCATTAAATTGTCATTAGTTGTTGTGGGTATAGATTTTCACTTTAAATTTTAATTTAAATAAAAGATAAATTATTTTCAATTCTTAAACAAAAATTATAAAAGAGGAAATTATTTTTACATTGGTAAAATAATAAGAAGTCTTAGACTAATAATTTGTCATTGATTTATTTGTATCCAATAACTTACAGTTGGTTCCTTGGCGCTGAGTTAGTGGGGTTGGACATGTGTTCAATTCCCGCTGAATGCATTCTTGGGGAGGGGGCTGAACCTTTAGCCATCACTGACCCCCGTACTCCAGATTAGTCCCATAGCCGGCTCAAAGAGTCGAAGCTTGTGGGGATACCGGAGGGAGCCAACTCGCCTCAAAGAGGTAATTAGGGTTGGGTAACTCCAAAAAAATAATAATAATTAGAATCATTAAATATATGTAAGATTAATAATAAAAATTAATTGTGTAACTTACATTTGTATAAAATAATTCTGATCCGACTATATAAAAGTTATAAAAATTTTGTTAAAAAAAAGGTAAAATAATTCACATTGTGCAATTCAAACTTAAATGAGGCATAACATATAAGTTTTAAATAACAAAGTATTTAGATAAAATAAAGTAAGTAAATAAGGATGTATTTATTTTTAAATTTTAATAAATGAAAAAATATGATATAATTTAAAATTAAAAAATAAATAAATATACTTTTATTTACTCACTTTATTGGACAAACTCTTTTTTATTTTTTATTTTTATTTTTATTTTTAGGAGTATGGCATTCTATATGTAATATACATGCAAAACAGAGCATGCATAGATGGGCCTACATTGGGCCTGAGATGGACCTGGACCAACAACATTGTAAGACAACAAACCTACGACACACGAACTAGTTACGGTCGCGAACACCGCAGTTCTCTGTTTTGCACTCATTCATAACACAACACAACGCAACGCAACACCCTCTCTTCTATCTCCTTTCCTGAACGTTCGTCTCGCACGTTCTTTCGCTCCCTCTTTTACCGTCTCTCTACTCTTTGTGTGTCTTATGGGCGAACACTAACCTCGTTTTCCACAAAACTAATCCAAAAAGGTATGCTTCTTCCCCTCCCTAATGTATTTATTTATTGATCATATCATATGATATATCTTTGAGCTTGTAATTCCACAAGTAATTCAGTTTAAAAGGGGGAAATTTGAAACTTTTGCGACTTATTCCATCTGGGTTTTATTTTATTTTATTTTTTATTCTTCTATTTCTTCATATTTCATATGAGTTCATAATATTTTGAGTTATTATTACTATTATTATTATTATTATTATTATTTTGGTTGGAGCTGCACTGGGGAGCTTCGTGTGGATCTTGTGTTTTGTCTTTTGAATTGAAACATTAATTGATTTTTTTTCATACGCATGTGTTATGATTTTAAAAATATTTCATACTTTATTGAGATCTTTTAAAATGAAATCTACATATTGTTGGCACTTCTAGAGTGCATTTTTATAAGTTCCTTTTTGCTCCTCCCTCACTCTTGTTTTGGCTTATGGCTTTTTTTGATTTTACAATTTAGGCATTTCCGATTTGATGAGAATGACGGACTACTGAGATTTGGATTTTGTCCTTTCATTGTCTTGTTGACTTAGAATTTGGATGTTCTGTATTTTGGAAACAGGGTAGGTTCTTAATGAAAAAAATTAATGGGAATTTTTTTGTTTCTCTGTTCATTTGTTTTTATGTGGAAAAAGTAGAATATTAAGGTGGGTTTTTTTTTTTTTTTTTTTTTTTTCTGTTTTCTTTTTTAGTTGATAATTTTTTCCTGTTTATAATTACAAAAATGCTATCTTGTTTTCACATTGTTTCATGCTTTCAAGTTGAACAAAGGAGAAGCTTTATCACTGCTCCAAGCTTGCCCTCTTTATTATTAGTGGAACATATCAACTGAAAATGATAACAGAAAATAAACCAAACACCACCGAGTGTCTAAACTGTAAATTTAGTTGAGCATTTTGGCTTTTATTTTACTTAATCAGGTATGATCTCAGCAGTACCATGACTTGCATGTGAGTCGGAATCATTTACAAGAACATAACTTTTCAATGAACTAGTTGTGTGCGAGGCAAAATATTTTTAATCACATTATTTCTCATTGAATTAGAGAAGTAGTATAATCAACTGAATATTTGTCACTTTTGGTTCCATTTTTTATGTTCAAGTATTCAACATTTTTTTGTGTGGAAATCTATTTGATGCAATGTATGTAAATTGCTTGAGCAGAATTTTAATTGCGATTAGATCATTAAAACTATTGAATAATGAACCTTGATTTTTGTGATTATGAATCATGTAATGGATGGGAATTCTTCTGCAGCACAGTAGGAGTTGGAGAAAGGCAGTAATTTCAATGTACTTGAGGAGAATACAGTGCAGAGATCGGAGATGGGCTTTAGTGTTGCAGCCATCGAAATACTTTTTTAGGCCAAGATTCTCAGATCATCCATGCTTTCAATCCTTGCCCCCTAAGACCAGTGTGAAAGAATATGCTTCACATTGCAGTATCATCAGAAGACATATTTTAGCTTCAGATTCATCTAGGCATGCTTCATCCAGAAATAATTGTACTGGTCTGGACAAAAGGAGTATTTTTTGTCTTAAGAGTACTCAGTTACATGCTTATAGCTCTGAAAGTGATGGAAGAAATGCTAGTGAAGATAAACATGTACATGTTAATGATGGAGCTGACATTGATAAGGGACAGAACCGACAAGAGAAGTATGGGAAAGATGTCACGTACTGCAATGCACATGCACAATTAGGAGAAGAGGATCAAGAGGAATGGCTTAATAAAGAGAAGCTTTCCGTAGAAAGTAAAAGGAGAGAATCACCATTTTTGACAAGAAGGGATAAGTTTAAAAATGAGTTTCTGAGAAGAATTGTTCCTTGGGAGAAGATAAACATTTCCTGGGACACATTCCCTTATCACATTCAGTAATTACTTATTCTTCTTTTTTAATTTAATGTCTTCGCTTATCTGAAATTTATTGTTGATTTAAGTCGTATGTTTCCATCCATAGTGAGCATACAAAAAAACTTCTGGTGGAGTGTGCTGCTTCCCATTTGAGAAATAAGAAGTTTGCTTCATCTTTTGGCGCTCGCCTCACATCTTCAAGTGGGAGAATATTGCTTCAGAGCGTTCCTGGTCTGCCATTTATTCCACAAAATTTTCCTTGTTATTCTATTTAATTTATAATGTTTATTTTGGATACTATTTTACTAACATCTATGCATTAGAAGTTTTATTGTGGTTTTTGCCTTCGGTCTGTATGTTTATGTTGTCTTTTTATCTTCAGGCACTGAGCTCTATCGTGAGAGATTAGTTAGAGCTCTCGCACGAGGTTTACAAGTTCCTCTATTAGTGCTTGATAGCAGCATTCTTGCTCCTTATGTACGTTCTGGAAGAAGTTAGAAGTTCTAAGTTATTCAATGATTTCTTAGTATTATAGTAATGGTGCTAGGAGCAAAAAACTTATACTATTTGAATTGTTATGCAGGATATTGATGATGATTTATCATCCGACTATGAGTCCGATGATAATGGAGAATCTGGGGAAGAGGGTTCTCTGGAGTCAGAGAATGAGGATGATAATGATGCTAGTAATGAAGAAGAGTGGACTAGCAGTACTGAGGTGAAGTCAGATGCAAGTGATAATGAAGATGCACTAGCATCTGCTGAAGCAGCCCTTAAGAAGGTTAAAGCGGCTGTTCAGAAACTTGTTCCTTACAATGTTGAAGAATTTGAAAAGGTGTATATACACTTCATTGTTTAAGAGTAATGGGATGCTTTTCTTTGGTCTGTTGGCTATGATAAAATGAAGTATCTGGTGACTGGAAGGTTTTACTTAGTGCATAGAACATAACTTGAGATAATGAATGTTTAGAAAGTGGTATTTGGATGGTAGTTTTAATGCGTATCTATTTGTTAGTTACTTTTTTAGTTTTACTCCATCTACTCATATAGACTAATGATTATAGTTTTGTGTTATTTTATTACTAGCAAAGGTTATTTAATTTTCCTTTCTATATGAGTATCTTCAATTTATACCAACAATAATAGGAAATCATTGTGGCATTGTGTATAACAAATGATGAAACATTGATTTCTACTTTTTGATGACTGTAAGTTCTAAGGGAGGTTGAAAACGAGTATGTCATAATTTTTGTGGCATTCAGTGAGGATAGTCTTATCTAAAGTTAAGCTAAATGTTATGATATATATTTGGCCGTTATCTTAGTTGAAACTCGTGTTAGTCTTCTCTCAAGAATTCTTAATATGCATGAGTAAATAAAATTACAAAAGATTGCTTGATATCTCACCCCCTAAGCCCAAATCTTTTTGCAGATAACGTCTGGAGAATCTGAGTGTTCTGAGTCATCCAAGTCTAATGATGCCAAGTCTTCTGATAAATCTGGATGCCCGCTAAGAAAAGGTAAAATTCTCAGCTAGCTGCAACTTCGATCTTACATACGAACTTGATATGTATGATTTTCTACTTCATCTACTTGAAAGCAAAATTAAGATGTCAATTGTCCCTGTATTAACAGGGATTATATCTTTGCTAGTTAACAAACTATTGTGAAATTTAGAGCTCAGTCACGGTGAACTGTTCCTTCATGATGCCCTGCAAAGGGAAAAATCATTTCACACACTCACTTCTGAAACTTCAAACCTCCCTTTTTCATGTGAGGAGTGACATCATTTCTAATAGATAACTATTCTTCTCAGAGCACAATTATTTTGATGGTTTAGAGCCCCTTGGGGGCATTAAGCGATGCTTAACTCAAGTGTGATGCTTCTCAGTTTCCATTTTAGGTCTGGAAACGACCAACAACATCAACATCAACAACACCTTTATCCAAACTAGTTAGGGTCGGTGAGGCCTGGAAACGACCATTTTTCTTTAATCTGTGAGAGAAGACTGCATGCAAATTCTAGTTATCAACATAAAAAGGAAATAATTTTTTAAGGTGCTAATACCCTTTTGAGAATACCATGACTTGACACAAATTGTGTAAGATGAGCAACCTTTAAAATGGGTCTTGAAATTGATTGTCCTAATCCTAAGTGCTTGAAACTCTTGTTTGGTCTTCTAATATGGTGGGAGATTTGGAAGACTTGTGATCATCTTTATTTTTTTTTTCTTCACTACGTTCCTCTTTGTATTTTGATTTCCTGTTCTGGAGGATATCCTATCCTTCCCACTTACTGTACTTTCCCGGTTTTGTATGTAAAATTTTTTTTCTATAAAAAAATTCTTGTTCATATACACAGGTGAAGTATCAAAGCCACCTGCTTACTCTATACAAGAAAAGAAAAACAAAGTTATCCTCTATTCACTTGTTTGATAAGAAGGGAAATGGAGTTTCAGGTTCTGCTTGGTGTTGAGAACCTTCTATTTGGGTTTCCATAATTAGAGGGAATGGAAGGGGACTTTATTGGGAAGAGAGGGAGAGGAAGAACTCATATTCTAGGAATCTGGTTCTGATCTGATATGGAGGGGAAAAACCTCCTATGATTAAGAATTGTCATACTCTATTTATTACTCTTGTTGTATGGCTCTTCCGGTTTGAGGAAGCTATGATTTAATACTGAAGAATTTCGGAGATATATTTTTCTGCTCTCTGTTTATTCAATTCAATCATTCTGAACAGAGGTTCAAGCCATAAATAGGGAGATGGCCACCCCAATCAGACATGCAACCCTAGGATCCAAGACATAAATGAGAATCTTCTAAATAAGGAGAAAACCTGAATCTGGAATGATTGACCAAATCAACATAATCAGAAATTATATGGAATAGAATAAGGAACAGATTTGGTGAATAAAGGAAGGAGGATCTGCAATCATGGAGAATGATTGAAGATTCATGTTCTTCGGCTCTTGGAGGCTGGACCATGTGATGTGGTTATGGGCTGGACCACAAATCAACAAATACTACTGGTATATGTTTCTATCAAGAAACAACACTACTAGTATATATGTGCTCTTAAGTCCTTCCTCCAGACAACTTGCCTATGACCTGGAGAATATAGAAAGCTGGTTGAGAAATTGAATTATCTTACCTTTACTTGCCTGGATATTGTCCTCCTAAATTCCATTAGTAATTATCGGATCACCTTTAGATTTTAATAGATTTCCTACGCATTTATTTTATTTATATCCTGCAGCTCTATATTGTTTGTTTGCTGGAAGATAATGATGATATTTTTTTGTTGCACTTGTGATATTAAATGAATTTAGATGTTGCAAAGTTTTAATGATTCATCTTCTAAGCTTCCCATTCGTATTAGCATTCATATAAATATCTACATTTTTGCTCTGTTACAATTCTTAGGTGACCGTGTGAAGTACAATGGGCCATCTGTTCGAATTACAGCTGATGATAGGTAATAAAAGGATTCCTCCTTTTTTATTTCCCCCACTTTTCTAATATAGTGGATGCTTATTTCTGGTCCATCTCCCATAAACTTGCATTTTTGCTTTTCTCGATTCAAGTGTACATGAACTTGCTTAGCATTGTTGCTGTGGCTGCCAATATGGCTAATTTTGATAAATTGTTGTGGAAGATTTTTCTCATCTAACTACATATCTTAAGCAAACTGATGGACAATTTAATGATGACTAGAAAAACAAAAACAATAAAAGATAAACAGAATTTTTCTTCAAACAAAAGAAGAAATCTTATTAGAGAGAAATGCTAATAATGCAACCGAGGAATGATAAATATCTTCCTAAATAGAAAAACTAAAAGAATACAAATAGCCAAAGAGGCCATGTAGGAAACGTGTTAACAATTTGCATATCCGTAGATGAAGTTCCTTTGAAACATGTTAGAGTATAATATAAACCATTAAAGAGTCTCTCACCTAATAGCTTAAGCTTTTGGGTTGAATCGGTTCTTTACATGGTATCAGAGCCTTGATGTCCCGAGTTCGATCCTCGCCGCTTCCTGTTTTTTTTGTGGAATTTTTTAGCGCAGGTAGGCTGAGCCTGATGCATTATTCATCTTTCAAGCCCAATGGGCTCTCTTGTGAGGGGCCGTGTTAGAGTATAATATAAGTCATTAAAGAGTCCCTCACCTAATAGCTTAAGCTTTTGGGTTGAATCGGTTTTTTACAAAATAGACCAGAGCCAGAGCACTGTAGAAAAGGCATATGCACAATTATATTGTATAAAATATGTAAAGGCAAATCAGCAAAGAGACCCCTTGTTAAAGCAAGCATTTATATACCAGTGAACTGCTTAAACCATGCACTGCCAGTGTTATAAGTGATGCTTTCAAAGGTTTCTGATTGCTTCTTAAAAAAAAACATTAGAAAGGATATTCTGCTCATTAATAAGACATTTATTATTGCACAAATAGTGACAATGGTTGTGGGCATGATGTACAGGTGATTATCATATCGTTCGTGCTTTTTATGCTTGTGGCTATGGTGGTGGCAACATAAGTGGTTATAATAATGGTACTATTGTAATTACAGAGGAGGTAGTGGTGATACTGTTAATGGGGGTAAACTCAACTATATTGAATCCCAAATCTAAGGATTTTTCTGTTTTAGTTTTGTGAGATGGGAATTCTTGAATATGAAGAGTGCAGTGGGAAAGTGGAAACAATTTCCCATGGGTTTTCATATACTGATTTCTTTCCATATATAATGTCTTTGGGAACATGTATCTTGTATTTCTATATCATGAACCCATGATTCGCCGAAGTCTGTCAGACAACCGGAGACTAAAGTTCCGCATATGATAATCTGGTTTCTAAATAGTCAACTAATTTATATTTCTATATATGAAGAGAAGTATATATGGTTCTTCTCCGTTGGACATTTTTGTCCTTGTCCTTTTATCTTGTGATGGAATTATATATGCCAATGTTTGGTGGATGATTTTTTTTTTTTTTTTTTTTGATGATTTTTTTTTTTTTTTGGTAATAGGATGATTTTATTTTTATGTCATAGTTTTTACTATAAATTGTGTTTCATTTTTGCTTGATTGTAATAAGTTCTAGGATGAGCTCAGGTAGTGGGTGGAAGTCATGTAATTCTGAACTTAGGTACATTAGGAGTTTGCATGATATATAGTTAGGGTCCTATAATTTTGATGAATATCTGGGTAATTACAAAGCCAATGTTCTGTCCAAAAAATATTTTTGAAACATTTCTACTGAAACATGTAATGCAATATTGTTTGGAAAAAGGCACTATAAGACAATAATGAGCAGGTTCTCAAATATTTCGAAAACTGCGGGCGTGGTTCTAGGAGAGCTGCCTTGGCTGTTTCTTGTAAAACCAATGTATCATCCCCATTGGACTCTGAGTTAGCACTCACCTGACATTGGCATATATAATTTTATCACAGGGTCATACTGGGGAAGATACTGACATCTGATGGTCCAACTAATGCTTATACTATAATACATGGCAGGTGGGTCGGTAAGTCATCCCTATGTGGAGGAGCCAAATTGTTAAATACCTCTCTCCTTTTGGCATTTTCTTGAAACTGATTCTGTTTTATAAATTTTACTTTTACTATATAATATGATAAAAGTAAAATTTATAAATAGTAAAATTGTAAAGAAGAGCATGTTTGATTTTACTGAAAGTCATGGTGAACAATCATTTTTGTTTCCTAAATATCTGCTTAATTCCTTGTCTAACCAATGGGGTGATCCTCGAGCTACATTTAGGGTATATTTCTCGTTCTTGTTCCTTACCTCACATTTTCTTTTGCTGTTTTTTGAAGTTTATTTCCTATCAACTTAAAATCAATCCTTTGCCTAATTTAATGGTTCCTTCTATTCATTAGTGTTTTGATTTCTTTTCAAGAACATATGGACATGCTTTTGAGATTCATGCGAAAAATCTTCATTTGTAGTTTTGCTAACACAAGCATGTAATTCCAGTCAGAGTTTTCTTGCCTTGTGGGCTTGACGCAGCAGTAAAATAGGCTTTTAAATATATAACATTTTGTCCCGAATATTTGTTTAAAGATAACGTTGGTCCTGGTTGTATTTCTCAAATGAGCTGAAACTCATTGATGGTAGGAAGTATACATAGACCATTGCTAGAAAATGCTATTCAAATGAAGAGAGCTGAAATTTCTCCCCCAAATCATTTGCCTTGATCTCCCTTCAATTATATGTTGGGTGTTTGTATTTAGTTGGGTAACTAGGCAGGTAACTCCTATCGCATTTGACTTTTGTAAAATTACAGTTAAGAATTTAACAACACCACTGATAGAATTCATGAATAATCAAACTTCTCAACTGATGGAACCCAGAAAAATATAACTGATTTCAGTAACAATGGAGGCATAGCCTCTTTTTACATACACTAATACCAAGATAAAATGCAGAAAATAAACCCCAAGAGACCTCAACTTCCAGAGATCCCCAAATTTTCCCACTAACCAATTCTGAATTCATGCATACTCACACTACACACACTGCCTACCTTTTATCCTACTTGCAGAATATTCTAGAATAACTAACTAACTGGTACACTCACTTTTAGGGCCATCATCAACTAAACAAATTCATAAACCTGGCAAGGCAATTTGTTATAAAGTGGCTTGCACTTAATTTTGGTTTTGACCCTACCCAGAAAAGCATGCAATGTGACCTAACAAGGAAGTTTACAGTCCTATAAGTATTTAGGTTGTAGACTGTTGTAAATCTGGGTGCATTGGGATTAGGGTTTGAGTTTGCGCAATTACTCCTTGTAATTTTCAACTATTTGTGGATCTGGTTACAGTATTGTGTGGCTACGGGAAGGAAGGGGGCTAGGGTATTGTATGGTTATGCTTTCTTTGTGTGGGTGTGTAGTGCATTTGGTTAGAGTTAAATAAGTTTAGGAAGTTATTTCTGCCCATAAATCTTCTTTGGGATAGGATAGTTTTCCTGGCTTCTTTGTGGTTTTATGTTGATGGCTTTTTAAGTAGTTTCTTTGTCAGATATGCAGAGGGATTGAGTACTTTTTTAGGTTGACTTCTTCATTTCTAGTTTTCCATGTTTCTTCTGCTTTTTGGAAGATTCCTGCTTGGCTGATGCTTCTGCATTTTATTCTTTATGAACTTCTTTGCAACCTGTAATCACTCACAAAATTCCTGAATTTTTTGATAATTTTTACGTCATCTTTTAGCATCTATGGGATAGTTTGATTATTTATGTTGTATTTTTTTATCAGGGAAAAATGCATAATCAATGGCTACTTGCATTTTGACATGTATCTCTGACCAAGAAATAATTGGATGAAGTGAACCTGATTTGTGTAAATCTGGATTCATATCATCCATTGATATTAAAAGTTCAGAGAGTGAAACACGTTGTCCTAAATGTAATATAGCATTGCCTTCTATGTGCATATTGCAAATTTGCAATTTCATAAATTGTGATCTTGTATGTTGCTTGGCTGGTCATCTAATATCCTGTCTGGATGTATTTTGTATTACCCTTTTCTGGTCATTAATTTTATTTCTGATACTAAGTCAATTGCTGGGATGTCTGTCATTCATTTTCTTGCTATCACGTGTCATGATTAAAATTATGGATTCATTTTCAATTAATGTTATCCTTAAAAATATTCTATATTGATATCCACAACATATTTTATACAAATGAGAATTATATGTTCAGATATGCTTATAGCTTGTATGTATTGTTTTTTTTGTTGTTGCAATTTTAACCAAATGTGAAATATATTGCAGGCCTTTAACTAATGGTCAGAGGGGAGAGGTATACGAGGTTAATGGGGATCGAGTTGCTGTTATCTTGGATATTACTGATGACAAGGCCAATGAGAGTGCGGTGGAGAACCTCAATGACGATCGTACAAAACCACCAATTTATTGGATACATGGTACATTTCTCTTATTCGAAATATTGAAAAACTCCAATCTTCTACTCTTAAAGCTAGCTCCCTTATATATATTTTTTTTAAGTAGATAAAAGTTTAGATTAGGGGTAGGCATGCCTCCTTGCAAAGCTAGGGAAAACCATCAACCTCAATGAGGGTATACAGAGGGATTAAATATTGCCTATATATTTACCAAAAATAAATAAATATTGCCTATCAAAAGAGGAAAACCTGAGAATCGAACCCAAGCCGCGGCTAGCGTGAGCAGAAGGTTCGACCAGATGTGACAACCCTCATTGACTTTATTTTCTATGTTTAGTTGATTATTATGAGATATTATGTGTTCAAATTTTATTTTTAATAGTTTAACTGACTTGAATCTGTGTCAGCTGGAGCATACATACAATATGGATATATTTATTTATGTTTAATTTCTCTTACACTGGCAATGGAATTTGGCATTATGCTCAATTGTTTTAATTTCTTTTTTTTGGGAAATTATCTTTTTTAGCCTAAGTCTTGAAGGGGATGCCTTGATTTTTCTAGTCAAGGCATTAGGTTTTCTTGATCTTTGTCAAATATACATGGCTCAGGATTTGATGATTATGTTGTTATAAACTTGTTATCAGAGGTTGAAGTAGTACTACCTGTCCTAGGATTTAAAGAAATTTTTTAAAATATAATACTGGCGAGCTTAGCAACTGTGATATAAGTATGTGAGCTTGAGTTTTTCCTCCTTTTTGGATAGAAAAATATATATTAGTTCTTTTGACTATAAGCAAACTAAGACTTTAATTTGCAAACAGTTAAGGACATTGAGAATGATCTTGATGCTCAATCACATGATTGCTACATAGCAGTGGAGGCTCTATGTGAGGTATAGTGCTGGTATTTGTCAGCTTTTCTAAATCTCATAATAAGATAACCAAAATCTTGTTTTGTTATAGGTAAACCTGACTGTTGCTTTTGCAGGTTTTACATTCCAAACAACCTCTTATTGTCTATTTTCCAGACAGCTCACATTGGTTGCATAAATCAGTTCCTAAGTCAAACCGAAGTGAGTTTTTTCATAAGGTCGAAGAGATGTTTGACCAGTTATCTGGCCCCATAGTGTTGATTTGTGGGCAAAACAAAGCTCAGTCAGGTTCAAAGGAGAAAGAACAATTTGTAAGCTTCAATTGTTATTTTTTGGTCATGAAGTAATGTCTGTAACTGAAATACATTATTTCCATTTTACAAATAGTAACAATTTAATTTTGACTTTTCTCCTTGATCATATATGATGTTTGACAGACAATGATACTTCCAAACTTTGGTCGCGTTGCTAAGCTGGTAATGCTTTCTTTCTTTCTACAAATGTATGCGTTCCCTTCCATATTTTATGGTTGTACGTATATGGGTTCAAATTATGCTGCTGTCAAATCACACTCTGTTCTTTTTATAGATCCCAAATAACTACATTATGCTTCTAAATGTAATGTCGCTGAATTTATTCATGATTAAAATTGATGCCAAGCCAACTTTATCCTCCCCCATATCTATATTCATTCTTTTCTTCCAGTTATTTTATTTTTTTTGTTTAGAAAAATTGATGTCAACAATGAACACTAGTAAATATTTCAATTAGACACATGATAATTTTCTGTGGCTATATGCTACCATTGTAAATATTACTGGTATTTTATTACAGTATTTTTGTAAAAAAAATTTATGGCCAATTTATGATGCCTAAGTGCACTTGTAATATTTCCTGTTGTATGCTTTATCAACTGCTGAATAGAATAAGAATGCAGAAAGGAAATCTGAGTGGGTGAATTTGTGTATCCGTAATAGACCATGTATAGCTCTATATATATTAGCATGGGTATTAATTACAATGATTAAATCATGATATACATAATCCTAATTGATACCATAGTATATACATGATGTCCTACCATGATCATCTATGATAGTCTAACATATTACATATTCTGACTAGATATTCTAACAATATTTGTTTACAGCCTCTTTCTCTTAAGCGTTTGACTGACGGATTCAAAGGAGAAAAGACATCAGAAGAAGATGAAATAAACAAGCTCTTCTCTAATGTTTTGTGTATACATCCACCTAAGGTAATTCTTTTGTGTATATTTTGTTTCATGATGAATCACCACAGGTAATTGTTTTGTCTATAAAAGTAATAGTACTTCATGGTTTCTGATACATGTCAAGCACCACACTTGGTATGAAACATTTAAAGTTTAAACATCTCAGTAAACTATCCCTCCCACTACTGGGGGAACAATAACATTAAATATACAAATCTCACTGAAGATATTTTTTCTTCATTAAGACAAGTCATACATATACTGGGAATATTAGCATAATAGAAAAATAAATGGCTTATGTGCATGTGTGTGTGTGGGTCTACATATATTTTTCTGCATTTAATTTTCTATAATTTTTTTTTATTTTAATTTAGTTTGTATACTGTACTGCGACCCTTTGTTTTGAATTGCCATATTGTGTCTTTTTTCTCTCTTTTTTCCTTCATAGGCTTAGTAAATTTGGATGTTCATATTGATGACCATTTCTGCTACAGATTTTTTCTTCTTGCAAGCATGACAGTCACTTATCTCTCAAAGGTGTACATTGGAAATCTTATAATTCTCCATGAAATCAAAACAGAAATGTTATATTTGTTTGACTGTTAATTGGCTCTATGGCTCCTTAAAGTTTTTCTATTGAGAATTATAAAGTATCTGACTTTATGTACAATATGATGAGAATTGATTCTAATAGCTTGCTGTTAATTTGCTTTCTGTTCGGCTTATCTCTCAAAGGTGGTGTTGATATTGATGTTGATGTTGATGTCATGGTTTCATCTGAAATATTGTATGACACTTTGCAGGATGATAATATGTTGGCAACATTCAAGAAACAACTTGAGGAAGATAGGGAAATTGTGGTTGCACGTAGTAATTTGAATGAATTACGGAAGGTGAGTCAAATCCATTACCTTGCTGATTTCTAAATGGATATGTACTTATTATGTGTCATGTATGTTGCCCTTGAAGTATACTATCGTTTAATGCATTTTTCACCATCAACATTAGACATTTATAGCTGGATTTTCATGGTCCAGGTTCTTGAAGAACATCAGCTATTGTGCACGGACCTCTTGCATGTAAATACTGATGGCATCATTTTGACGAAGCAAAGTAAGAAACTGTAGTTATATTTAAGTGTTTCACTTATTATTCTCTTGTATGCTCTTGTCCTTGTTCCTCGACCATTGTATTTGTACCCTCTATTCATCCCTTTAATTTATTTCATTGTTACAACAAAAGCAAGTGACTACAAAAAAAACTTGAATGTTGATTTTGTGGTTCAAATTCAAGGAAGCACTTATATTTGTTAATGGAGTAGTTGATTTAAGTTTTAGTAATGCATTTGATTGGTTGGATGATGATGATGATTAAAAGGACAGAAGACAATAGTTTATTTATTTATTTATTTATTCTTATTGTGTTTATCACATATTTTACTTCTTTATCTCTTTTAATACTAATCACCTCCTAGCGGTTTCCACTTTACGACTTGCACCCTTTCTTGTTTTTATAAAATATTTCCTTGAAGAATCTGTAAAAGAACAAAATTGATAAGGGGGACAAATATGCATCAGCTCAAAAGAGTCTTGCAATCCCTTTGCAATACTGTTAATGAAAACCTTGGAAGGACCTTGTTGCTTTAATCCACCAGGAGATATAAGTTGCACTCCAGCATCATGTTCAAACCATGCCAATGTTAAAAATACATTGTTGCATTGCATATTTTGTTTTCCTGATTGAAAGGTTACTGTAGAAAATGAAAATTATAAACTTTATTATCAAAATATGATGTGTTCACATGTCTTTTTCTGTGCGTTATAATTTTGTTTTTAGAAGCTGAAAAAGTGGTAGGCTGGGCCAAAAATTATTACTTGTCAAAATGTCTGCTTCCTTCTGTTAAAGGAGAAAGATTATGGCTACCTCGTGAAAGGTAAAAATATAAATCCTATTATTTTATGTTATTGGGTAGAATTTTTAAGCTCATTTGTTTGTTCTTTCCCTTTTGTGAAGTCTTGAAATTGCAATCTCAAGGTTGAAGGGCTATGAAACTAATTCACGGAAGCCTTCTCAGAGCCTCAAGGCATGTGGTTTATCTTACTGTTACTATAAGTGATGTTAAATCCAGGGCTTTTTTTTTATCTTATTTTGATTTGAATCTTACGAATGTCATAACAGAACCTTGCGAAGGATGAGTTTGAGAGCAATTTCATTTCATCTGTAGTAGCTCCTGGTGAAATTGGAGTGAAGTTTGATGACATAGGTGCTCTTGAAGATGTGAAGAAGGCACTTAAGGAACTTGTAATTCTTCCAATGAGAAGACCAGAGCTTTTCTCTCATGGAAACTTGTTGCGGGTAACGATTCTTGTTCCTTGTTTCTTGTATGCATTCTCAGTGTAGCTAAATCGATTTTGTTCTGTTCCTTTATTGTGTGTAATAAAATTGGAGTAACTATTGTCAGCCCTGCAAAGGAATATTACTTTTTGGACCACCTGGAACTGGGAAAACTCTTCTGGCCAAGGCACTTGCCACTGAAGCTGGTGCAAATTTTATCAGCATAACTGGTTCAACTCTTACCTCAAAGGTAATTTTTATTCTGGCACATTTGGCTTTTCCAGTTGATAAGTCTCTTGCAACTAAAACTCGGAATGAAATTTGGTGGTTGGTCTACACAAGAATTAGGTTGTAGCAGATCTGATAGTTTTTGCTTTTCTCCCATAAGATTCTGCTTTGATTCTACATATTACTGGAAGGTGTGAATGATGTGGGGTTTACAAGGTGGAAGAGTGTTAGCATTACTGATGTGTGCCTGTGTCTCTGCTGAAGTGTATATGTCATGATCCTTTCTTTTAACACAAGCACACAGCATCCTTGCCCTAAATAAATTTGGTTTTTTGATGTCCAATGGCATCGATTGATCCATATACCCAACCCCACCCAGTGGCCATGATAAGACCTGGTTACTGTTGAAGAAAAACAGTATAGAAAACAGCAAGCCCAAGTGGCGGCTCAAAATTGCAACGAAGAAGTTCAATTACGTTTTATATTAATAATAGAAATTCCTTTCAAACAACAACGTGCCCCAAGCATCAATGAGAAGCTAAAAGACAATCCAATTCTATTACAAATGTAAGGAAAAAGAGACACCCTAGAAAGCATGACATCCTTCTACTTGAAAAAGGGTATTCTGATATATTTTAGAATTGTAAATAATGTGTACAAGGGATTCTCTATTTATAGAGAATATGTGACCTACTTTTAACCTAAAGGCCTTGGCCCAATACAACAAAGGGCTTGGCCTAATACAACAATAAACTAAATAATAACTAAATCAATATTATTTACAACACTCCCCCTCAAGCTGAGGAATAGATATTTATCATTCCCAGCTTGCTAGTAAGTTCTTGAAATCTGTCTGAAGGAAGCCCCTTTGTTAATAGATCAGCTAATTGACGCCCAGTGGGAATGTATGGAGTGGTAATCAACCCGCTATCAAGTTTCTCTTTGATGAAATGGCGGTCGACCTCAATATGTTTAGTCCGATCATGTTGAACTGGATTATGAGCTATACAAATAGCGGACTTATTATCACATAGCAGCTTCATAGGTCCCTCACATTTTATTTTGAGATCATCAAGTACAATTTTCAGCCACAGTAACTCACAAATGCCTTGAGCCATAGCTTGAAATTCAGCTTCTGCACTTGATCTGGCAACCACATCTTGTTTCTTACTTCTCCATGTCACCAAGTTACCGCAAAGAAACATGCAATAACCAGTGGTAGAACGACGGTCAGTCATGGATCCAGCATAATCAGCATCTGTGTAGACTTCTAAAGATAGATTGCCATCACGTCGGAATAACAATCCTTTACCAGGAGTACCTTTAAGATACTGAAGAATTCTCTCTACAGCCTGCATGTGTTTTTCCTTTGGATTGTGCATAAACTGACTGACAACACTAACAGCATAAGCTAGGTCTGGTCTAGTATGGGCCAAATATATCAATTTCCCAACTAGCCGTTGATATTGTCCTTTATCAACTGGAGGACTCTCTTCTTCATAGTCCATCTTGTGATTCTGCTCAATAGGAGTATTAGAGGGTTTACACCCGAGCTTTCCTGCTTCTTTGAGAAGATCAAGAACATATTTCCTTTGGCTGATAAAAATTCCTTTGCTTGAATGAGCTACTTCTATCCCTAGGAAATATCTCAGTTTCCCAAGGTCTTTGACTTCGAACTCAGAGGCAAGCCGTGTCTGCAGAATCTGTCTCTCCACAAAATCATTACCTGTGATAATAATATCATCAACATATACAAGGAGCACAGTAAGCTTCCCGTTTTGGGAGTGCTTAAAGAAAAGAGTGTGATCTCCTTGACTCTGTCTATATCCTAAGGTCATCATAACCTTAGTAAACCTCCCAAACCAAGCACGAGGTGACTGCTTCAATCCATACAAGGCCTTTTTTAATCGACAAACTTTATTTCCCCCTTCACAGAATCAAAACCAGGCGGGATTTCCATGTAGACTTCTTCTTCTAACTCACCATTGAGGAAAGCATTTTTCACATCAAATTGATTTATATCCCAATTGTAATGGGCAGCAAGGGACAACAAGATTCTTACTGTATTCATTTTTGCAACTGGAGCAAAGGTTTCTTCATAATCAATGCCATAGGTTTGAGTGTAACCTTTGGCGACTAATCGAGCCTTGTATCTCTCAAGAGTGCCATCAGAATTATATTTTAGGGTATAAACCCATCTGCACCCTACTGCTTTCTTTCCGTTGGGTCTATCAATAACCTCCCATGTTTTATTTTTCTCCAACGCATTCATCTCCTCTTGCATGGCTTGAGCCCAATTCCCATCTCTCAAAGCTTCATGTACTGATTTTGGGATTGAAGTAGAATCTAGTGCTGAAACAAAGCTTTTGTGCTGCACAGAAAGATTAGCAGAGGAAACAAAATGGGAGATAGGGTATTGAGTACAAGAGGGACAGGAAGAACAAGATTTCTTGGAACAAGATCTTTTTCCTTTTCTTAAAGCAATGGGTAAATCATCAGAAGCAGTAGTAATGGGTAAGTCATCAGAAGTATCATGATCAGAAATATGAGATTCAAGACTTACCAGTGGTTCAGACGATTGAGGTTGCTGTTGAGGCAATGTGGGCTGTTTCCTTCTTTGATATACCAATTCAGGTGTTACAATCTTCCGTATCTCTTGTGTACTTGATGTATCAATCATAGGAGGATCAGTCACAGACACATTAGGAACAGGAACAAGAGGAAGAGACACTGACACAGGTGAAGGAGTAGACACTGAAGTTTCAAAGAAGGAAGGTGATGAGTCTTCTGGTGAATCATTCTCCCCCTGAAGATGAGGACCTTGGAAAAAGGACTCAGATTCCTGAAATGTAACATCCATAGAAACAAAAAATTCCCGACTTCCAGGGTGATAACACTTGTAGCCCTTCTTATCAGGAGCATATCCAAGGAAGACACATTTAAGAGCCCTAGGATCCAACTTACTGCGATGCTGTTTATGAATATGAACAAAGACAACACACCCAAACACTCGAGGAGGAAGACTTTGCAAAGTTGGAATAGAAGAAAAAAAAGAAGTCATGGAGTGAATAGGACTTACGTGATCGAGAACCCGAGTGGGTAGACGATTGATCAAGAATGCTGCAGTAAGAATGGCATCTCCCCAATAGCATTTGGGTACATGTGTTTGAAATAATAAGGCACGAGCAACTTCAAGAAGGTGACGATTTTTCCTTTCAGCAACCCCATTTTGTTGAGGGGTGTCTACACATGTAAGTTCATGAATCATACCTTGATTTTGTATAAATTGGGAAAAAGAGTGATTGACATATTCAGTACCATTATCTGTCCTTAGTCTTTTGATTTTTTTACAAAATTGAGTCTCAATCATTTTATAAAATTGAAAGAACAGTTTTGGTACCTCAGACTTTTCATGCATTAAGTAAACCCAAGTTACACGAGTGCAATCATCAATAAAAGAAACAAACCATTTATTTCCAGAAGAATGAGGGACCTTAGAAGGACCCCAAACATCAGAATGAATAAGATCAAAAGGTTCAACACTTTTAGTAATACTAGAAGGGAAAGACACACGATGATGCTTAGCAAACTCACAAACATCACAATGATAAGACTCAACAGACTTAGACAAAAACAAAGACGGAAATAAAGACTTGAGTAAACTAAATGGAGGATGTCCCAAGCGCTTATGATGAAGCCAAATCAGAGAATCAGCAGTTGACTGGCCATGTGACAGTAAGATGTGATCCTTAACATGAGTTGCAGGAGATTGTGACACCAGATAATACAGCCCACCTTGCTCTTTAGCACCCCCAATGTGAGTAGGAAAGAAGGTTACAGTGCAATTTAAATCTTTTGTAATTTTATGAATAGAAAGAAGATTAGTAGAAAGTTTAGGGACATGAAGAGCATCTTTGAGATGTAAGGAAGGCTGTAATTTTATGTTACCAGAACCCGCAACTGATGTATGGGAGCCATAAGCTACGGCTATCGTATGAGTGCCAATGGTAGGGTTATAAGAAACAAAGGGGTCAGCACAACAAGCCATATGATCAGTAGCACCAGAATCAACAACCCAAGAATGTTTAAAATCAATACATGAAGTAAGAAAAGAAGAAATTTTGGAGCTCATACCAGTCATAGCCAAATCACTAGTACCAGATGGCTTACTCAGAGAATCAAGAATGGTTCGAAGTCGTTCCAACTCATCTGGACGAAGTGCAGGTTGGGTCTCATTAGGTGTAGGAGCTATATCAGAAGAAGTAAAATGCGCTTGACCACGCATGGCGATAGCATAGATCCTTGATATGACCTGTTCTTTTACAATAAGAACACCAGCGATCATCTTTCTTAGGTCTAGAAGATGCTCCATCAGAATATTTTGGAAAGGAACTCCTGTAAGTAGAACCATCTTTTTTTGTTGAAATCATAGCAGACCCATCAGTGGGTTTAGAAGCAGCACCATCTTTTGATGATAACATGACAGATTTATCAGGGTTCATCATAACACCCCGACGATTCTCCTCTCCCCGAACAGTATTGAAAAACAGCAGAAAGGGATGGAAAAGTTTCTTTGCCAAGTATCTGAACCCGAATAGGATCATACTCGGAATTCAAACCAGCAAGAAAATCAAAAATACGCTCATTTTCTACCTCCTTGGCTAAAGCAGTAGCATCTGCAGTACATTTCATCTTCAAACTCTGAAATTGATCATGTTCAGTCCATAACTCCTTCAAGGTGCCATAGTACTCAGTCACGGATAAAGAATCTTGTTTTGTAGTGAATATTTTATTGCGCAATTCATAGCGCGCAGCCATATCCTGTTTCAAGGAATAAGTGGAGCGGACAGTTTCCCAAATCTCCATAGCAGAAGACAAGAACATACAATGACGACCCACTTCAGGAGTCATCGAATTCCACAACCAAGTCATGATAAGAGAATCCTCATTATCCCAAACAGCAAAATCGGGATCCGTGGCAGCAGGAGCAGGGCCATCAAGATGAGCAATCTTATTGCGACTCTTGATGGTAGTACGAATGAACTGAGACCATGACAAATAATTTGATCCGTCAAATCGATAACTCTGATGTAGATTTGGAAGATCATTGTGACCAAGGGGTCACCA